TGTTCGATATTAAAACCGTCCTGGCTGAGGGAGGTCGTAGACTGGACCTTTCTTAAAGGCTTCAGGTTTAGACAATAAGACAGTACAACCATTTAGTAAGGTAATTATAGCAAATGAAATCCAACATACTCAGACTTGTGTTGGACTCTGCTGTCATTTTCTTGCCGTTATAAAATAGACATGTGTAGATCCCCGAGTCACTAGGCTTGAAGCGATGAATAACCTTTTCACTCTTTATCAATCCATTCTCGTCATTTACGGCTCTTGAGAAAACACGTCGACCATTTTTGAACCACGCGACTTTAGGTAAAGGCGAGCCACCAGCTGAACAGTTTAAATTTATGGTATCGCCAACATGCTGGACTTTGATTTCACTGGGAGAACTGGACACAATATAAGGATCCACTTACGAGACAGAGAAACAAAGTAATCAGCGCAATTTTAGATTGAAATTTTATGGACACTGTTGTTTTACTCAAGGTTGTTGATCAGTTTGTTTGTTTTTCAAATCCATACTTACCAACAGCTTTAACAAAGACCCATATCACTCTCATAACATTTGCCATTTGGTTAGTTCCCTGGCAAACGTAAGCGCCATCATCGTCCTCCGTTGTGTTTTGAATCGTAAGTTGGGAACCGTTCATAAAATGTCTGTTGATTGAAAGCTGCTCGCCTGATCTTGTCCATGTTATCACAGGGGGAGGGTAACCAAAGATGTCACATTGGAGCACGGTGTCCCATGTCTTGTAAGCAGTTACGGAACGCTTAGGTTCGGTAGTAAATTTTGCTGGCACTACCAAAAGAATATTACAACATACATAGTAGACCAAGTTCAAACTTAGACAAAAAGCAAGGTAATACTACTATTTATGGTACGAGGACATCTTAATAGGGTTCAGCAATATATAGATTTGCAACAGTGATAAAGTTTTGACGAGACTATCGATTGAAATTTATAAGGCGACCTTCTATGCACAATTTACGCTTGCCCTGGATGCAAAATGAACGATAAATTCAAATAGTTTTGTTGCAAGGCGCGCGTGACTGATTGCTGTGCAGAGAACATTAGGCTTGCGTTCTAACCAGCAAACAACGAGCAAATAAATAGGATCTGGACCTTTTAAAATGCAAAATGAACATTCTGGATAACTTCGAATAGTAACATTAGATACTTAATGAGGGAAAAATATGAAATTGAATGCCAAGGTTTGCGTTATAAAGACAGCAGGAGACTTTAACTCTCTTGGACAGACCTTTCACGCTGACATTGACGGATAACTCTGCTCTGCCCATAAGATTTTCCGCTGTACAGGTGTAGACACCACGGTCCTGGAATTGAATTTTCTTTAATTTTAGACTTCTTTCTCCAAAGTACTTCTTCTCCTTTTCAATCAGGTGTCCATTTTTGTACCACGTGATCACAGGTTGTGGAAAGCCATTTGCTTTACAAGGTATTAGAACATTAAGTGTCTCTTTCACTGTTATGGTGGGGGAAGGCTTTGAAATGAAGTGTGGCAATTCTGAAAAAAAGGGGTCTATTATTATCGTCTTGGAAAGTAAAAAACCAGCGGAATGAAAAAGGCATTAAAGTTTCAAGTCAATCGAGTTAGGAAAAAATTTAGGAAACAATAACAACAAAAAAAGCAACCATTGATAGATATTCATTGCACGACTTACCTAACTGACCTCCACCGCTATGATTTGTTCTCCGTTGTGCTGATTTCCCAGGGGGCCCTGGTGGTCCTCTTATGCCACGTTTTCCCTGGGGACCTGGCACACCTTTTGGTCCCTTTCTTCCCCTTTTACCGCTCGATCCAGGAGGGCCCTGGCGACCAGTGCGGCCAGGTATACCGGGAGGACCTGGTGGGCCTTGAGGTCCTACAAAACGAAATGAAAATTGATGAATAAACTGATGTAAAAATACAATAAATTTTGTATGAGAAAGTCGAAAAAAATTGCATCCAACTAAACAACAGAGAGGATACTTCTTTTGTGGTACGATTTTGCGGCTCATTACATTTCTATAATATTTAGTTTGGTACAGCAACGTACAGTTTAAGTTAATATATCACTGAAACTATTACTATTGAAACTAGCGATATCACTGGGTGGTATTGTGTGCGGAAGATTGACGTTACTTGATTTCGTGTTTCAGTGCAAGACACATTCTTTGGGTCCTATTTCCTTAGCCATTTGAAGGAAACGAGAAAGAGTAGTTACCATGGTTATCGTAATGTTCTTATATGCAGTTTCATAAAGCACGACTTTTGTTTAGTGTTGGAAGCATACAACCTAGTGACATGCTTCTGTTGGTATTAATAATGGTTGAGATCTATTGAGTGTTTTGAAGAGTTTTTTTATGCCATTCCGGTGTATTTTTTTCTACTCTTTGAACTGCGTTACTAAGTATTGGTGGTCGAAAAACCTCTTACCCTCAACGCAAACAACATTTCCCTGACTTCTCTCCAAGGTCGAATTCTATGGATTGAAGAAGAAAAAAGGAGACAAATTAATTCAATCGATCGCTACCCGGAGACATTTAACCGATAGACGTAGATTCTTAACAACGATTAACCCCGATAAGTTTTAAAAAAACGGTTAACCCTGAAAGTAAACCTTAATGAAAAGAAATTAATTGTTAGTCCTAAATGACCAAAACTTCAACCGTTAGCCGTAAGAGCCATACCCCACTGAGACCCTCCAATAAAACACTGTATCAGAAAAAAAATAATATTGAATATAACAAATAATTATAAGTCAAACGAAAAAATAAAGGGAAGCAGTGAGGAATGAGACATTGAGGAAGTTACCAGGATTTGATGGACATTGGAGCGTCTTCCGTTGTCGATAAAACGAGTCATCAATTACATGTTTTTGTCTAATTTGTCAACTGTTAAAAATTTTAGATAACACGGCGATTAAGTATATTTTTACAGTGAAGGCTCTCTTTAAAGGTATTTTTTCTCTTAAATCCGGTCACAAAATTTGGTAGGTCGTTCAAAAGATTAATAAAAGGGTCTAATGGCATTTGTAAAAAAGGGAAGGATAAAAAAGTGAAACTTACTCCTCGCTGACCATTCAAATTCACGCAAACACTGCGACATTTGCTGCACATGGATCTTCGTTCAACAGCTCTTTGGACGCGAGCAGTTTCTTTCTCCAGTGATCCACTTGGACGAGAATGAGCAGATGTTGGCGCAACAGAAAAAGGATTGGAAATCGGGTACGGAGAGCTTTTAAGCAGTGAATTTCGCTCAAGTGTTGTCAAACGCGAATCTAATCGATGCAGGGAATAACAAGTGAAACCGAGTGAGCCTAGCGTCAGAATTAAGTTGACTGAAAGGCCAAACATAAGAACGTGCGAACTCTTATTTGCCTTAGACTCCATCCTCAATCGGCGCCTTCCCTCAGCAACAGCCTAGATGATGGCTAACGCTGAATGGCAAACTGATAGATAACTGTTTTGTTTTAGTGCCAGGAGCGAAACCCAATAGAATAAAGAAACTATATTTATGTGACATGTATTATCAACTTTCGTACTCGTTTCAGTTTGAGCGTTTATTTCCGTTCTATTATGTCGTGCAAATGGGCAAAATAAACAGATTGCATGTAAAATTTGACGTTATTGTCTGCTTAGATTTATGGCCTCCTAAAAGAGACGAAGGTCATTTTCGTCTTCCTTTAAACAAGTCAAGTGATTTTGGAGTCAAACAAGCAAATAGTTGTTTGACCACTTCACTCTGTTAACGCGTGATATGTCATGCACTTGAGTTTGCACTTGACTCTGTTAACGCGTGATATGTCACGCACTTGATATTGCAACCTCATGTACTAGAATAAGAGGATGTGACCACTTCACTCTGTTAACGCGTGACATGTCACGCACTTGAGTTTGCAACCTCGTGTACTAGCATAAAAGGATGTGTAAGAAGAACGGGTCCGCATGCGTACTTTGAAGGTTGATAACTTTGTGTGAATCTTGCGATGTTTTCGTGTACTCAAGAAACAAATTCTAGTGGTGTAAGAGGTTCCCCTTGGAACCTCTTTTTTAAAAACAGGAAAGTAACAGCAAAGTAATATGCACAGAATGAAATAACGCTGAATAAAGGGAACCCTAAATTGATAGGTGCTATTTGTATTTCAACCTTCTTTACTTCGCACGTATAATTTTATTTGTAACTCTTTAACTTGACACTAAATTATATTTTCTCACGAAACAATGAAGAGGCCATCGACTACGATTTAGCTGTAACTATATTAACGATTTAATAAACCATTTAGCTTTTACGACTGGACTTCGAGCAAAGTTTGTTGATTATTCAAAATTCCGGTCAACATCCGCTCTGCGGATAGCATCAGCTTTCAAAACATGATGCGCACACTATGATTAGCAGTTTTTCACACAAAACCGAAAAAAAAAACTTCAAAGTTCTCCTTCTGTGTGTGAGGCTTGAGGAAATCTTGAGATTTTCACGAAATTGAAGAAATGACACTAAAGTAAGGTGACCCGTGTTATTAAATTTCCTACTTGTTTCAGTTTGAGTGTTTATTTCCGTTCTACCAAATCGTGCAAATGAGTAAGTTAGGCAGATTGTATGACGAAGTTTGTTGATATTGTGAAATATTTATGTACTCTTTAAAGAAAAGAGGGGTTAATTTCTTCAAACGTTAAGTGATGTTGGAGTCAAATAAGCAAATAAATGTGACTACTTCACGCATGTAGTGCGTGATATGTCACACACTCGAGTTTGCAATTTGGTGTACCAGCATAAAAGGATGTTATAAGGAGAACAAGTCAGCTTCCGTAAAGTGAAGCACGAAAGCTTTGCATGACTTAAACTTTACGGTTTACAATGTATTCGTGTTCTCGACAAACAAATTTTAGCGCCAAAAGATTGCTAAAATTTTTGCTAGGAACAACTCTTTTTCTCGAAAGGGAAACTAATAGCCAAGGTATCGTTAAGAAGCAAATAATGTGCCAAGAATGAAATAACATTGAGTAAAAGAAAACCTTACTTGTATTTCAATTTTATTTATCACGAACTTATAATTTAATTCTAAAGTTTTTAGAAGCGTAATTATTTACAGCCACATTATATTTCCTAGTTAAAACTCTTTACCAAGACACTAAATTATGTTTTCTCACTGAACATTCTTGAGGCCAGAGACTACGTTCAGCTGTAACTGCATTGACGATTTGTTAAAACATTTAGCATTTACGACTGAACTTTGCGCAAAGTTTACTGATTCTTCCCACTGCAATCAACTTCCCTTCAGCAAATTGCGTCAGCTTTGAAAACATGATACGCCAGATGGTACTCCACCAAAACACACTCCTCTGACGCGTTGTTGGAGGCTGTCAAAGTTGTTTACAATAAGCCAATAAACTAGCGAGAGGCATGCCATTATGACCACGACAAGATCACGCCTGCGACAAGATAATGAATCAAGAGCTAAAGAGAATCCCCTTTTGATCACAAAACAAACCTGGTCGCTGGAACGTAGTATCATTTTCCCACCACTTAGCCAATTAAATTTTATTAATGATATATATTAAGGAGTAATTTGTAAGAGGTAGAAGAAATTTGTGATGCTATTTACTCACGAATGAAATGAGAAGATATTGCTTGATAACGCCTGAATACTGATTGGCTTAGATGAAACATATAAAACGAATGGGAGAGCATAATCAGAAAGGTCACCCATGCTGTTGTAAAGAAGCCTCCACAAAATTTGAAAAAAAAATTCTGTACAGGTCTTGGAACCGTATCATAAATTAAAGACCTCTTCTTTCGCGTAGTTCTAAATAAATATAACGTCACTCATTCTACTGGTTTTCAACTCACGTAAACAGCTTTATATGATCGTTTGGTTTAATCAGCTGAGTTGATAATACAAACTGACCAGCGTCAAGAGTTTCTTACGCTGACGTTTCGATAACACCAAATTACTTTGCTCTACTCTCCCATCGGCGCAGCACCACACTTTCTTTAGAAACTTACCCCCTCCCTTTAAACAGCTTTACACCCGGCGCTTATTCTTGTTCACACATAACCGAGTGGCAAACTTTTCATAGAATGAAACATTCCAAGAAGTCAATTCAAGAAAGTAAATAATAACGTACGGGAGAAAGGCGTTACTATCTGTCATGAGAAACTACAAAAAATTGAATTCTTTGTTTGCATTAAAAAATCTCTAATTCTAAGCAACCACGCACTCATTCTCATGTGGAAGATGACTGACTCGCTTGGCGACAACTCGTGAAAAATATGTCATGGTTCCAAACCGTCCACTTGGAGCAGTGTCGTAGAAATATCGACAGATGCCTGCTGCTCCACCACAACTGATTTTTTCATGAGGAAGACGAGCGCAACACATAGTGGAATCACCTTTGATGTTCATCTGAAATAGCACGAAATGCCGGGAAAATGGATTTTAAGCACATAAATTTGGATGTAATAATGGTATAGATAAGTTTTTTTGTATTCCCACGCCAGCTCTTGCTGCGACCCTTTAACCAACACTAAATGTGATTTGGTCCCTAGGTCTTCGGCGCAGGCCGTTTTGTATAAGTCGCCAATATTCTTATTGGCTCCTTCTGACTCGTTGTGTGTTGGTTCTGCAACAATCACTCCAAAATAAGCTCCCATGCTTAATATATAAACGATGATTTTCCACTTATCTATCTTGGTGTTGGGCTTTTACTTTGAAACTCGATCAGTACCAATCCAGATTCAACTAAATTTATTTTTCAGTAAAACCACCTTTAGTTTCTCAACGAAAAACCCCACTCTCCAGGATCATAAGTGACTGTCACGTGTAATCTGTGTTTTCTACCATAAAAAATGTTCGGGTTTTAGCATGCAGAAAAGTTGCTACTCGCACTGCCTTCATGTAACTTCATCTCATCATCAGAAAAAAGACAAAAAAAAAAAAAGTCCTCAGTTTTGTAATTGTCATAAATATCTACCGAGGCAATTTTTGACGGTGAACGTAAGAATTTCCTAAACATTGCCTCAGTCTCCGCGACATTCAGGTCCTTAAAAAAATGGTCTTCCTAACCCCTTTTCTTAAACACACATAGCAGTCAGGCTTATTTAATACTGTGAACGAAGAACACTTCGAAAAGAAAACGAAAAAGATTGTCCTACACCCACCTGATCATTAAGATACAAACTGTGGCCCTCGAAAACAAGTTCGTCAACGTCAATAGTGTCTCCAAGGGTCTGTTCTGGATGATATTCAACCACAAGAGACAGCACCATCAACATTTCCACCACAAGTTGGCGATATTCCGGCTCTGGAATGCGATTCAGGGCAGCTTCCACACACAACGCAAACTTCAATTCTCCTGGAGTCATCTGGAAACAGAAAAGCATTGTGTGACTGAAACTATTAAGAGAGGACTAATGATGGTTACTGCGTTAAGAAATGATGTGATCACAATAAGCTTAACATTGACCAGGAGCAGATTTGACATATTATCTTGCCATTTGTTTCGGCGAGGAAATTTTGGTTTGTCTGACTGATGTATAACAATATTATCAGATTTTCCTCGCAATCCAAAGGCTCTGGATACAGCATTACATTTTGCTTTGGAGGAAAGACAAACCAGAACAAAACTAATTATGTCAGAAAAGGCTGGGAAGAACTCTCAGTAACTTAACGTTATCGCCATCGGGGGCAGAAATATGCGAGTGGCCATGTCGCCATTGGATAATAATTGCATCCTAACTGATAGAGTAGGGTGCATAAGCCTGTTAAGCCAGTCAAAAATCGCAGTAAAGCTTAAAATTAAAGAAATAATACTAGAAAATGGGATTCAACCGAAGGCATACCTCTAAGACCATGGTGTTCGGTAGATAATGCTTGTAAATGGTCATACCTCGACACTAGAGGAATTAAAAAAAAGCAAAAAAATAACAACAGGTCGCTCAAATGGCTGAAAAACATCGCAAATATGAAAATGTTTTAAATTTGGAGTTTGAAATTTGCAAGTTATCATACCTTTTCGAGAACTTTCCAGAATTTGGGGTAAAAATCCTCAGGGGCTCGGTTAAGAGCTCCATCAAGGCACCTACGCCTGATCCACTGCCCAAGGCGGTCCTGAGGGTCCTCGTCCTCGTCATCTTTATCTTTCTGTGGTCCCAGCTTATCCTGATCAGGTGATGGTAGCAATCCTCTACCGCTCATATGCTTTAAATCCGAAAACAAATATAGTTGTTATTAATGTTGTTATTGTGTTAGACTTTTTTTTAACAATTTCTCGCGCAGTGTTGGCAGGTCCAAAATGATACTTCAGTTAATCTAAGTTTTCGTTATATTTCGAACTGGTTATGAACGTACCACGTCATCGATGGAAAATCAAAGTTATCACCTTTCTAGACAAATAAGAGACTGACAAATTTCATATGTGTTCAATCGTTATTCCGTCCCTTTACACATTCTTTGGTTTTATCAACTGAGTTGCTAATATAAACTTAACGTTTCAAGAATTAGCCTTTCGTCATTCGCTCTGATGGAGGACTAACGTTCAACACGTCTGCTTTTGAGCCTTTTTATGGTGGCTAATTGGCATTATCAACTCAATTGATAAAACCGAATCATCTCATACCCTCCCCCCCCCACTCCCTACAGACAGGGCACCACAGTTTCTTTCTTAAAATTTACTCCTTTACACATTACACACAGTAAGTAACTACAAAACCATGCAAAACAATGGCGCAAGACGGCGCGAGGTAACGTGGTTCAAAAGATAACAGCCATAAAACAGACAAGCCACGTAGGATTGACAAGAGATGAACGCTATTTAACATCTCAGTTAATTCAATTTAAGTTTACTTTATCCTATTGCATTAATATCCATTTTCCCCTTGGATAGCAAACACAGAATTAGAGCATTAATGCCTTTGCATCATAGCGTTAGCTTTAATGCAATATCACTTATGGTTGCAGTCAAGGTTTCTTAGAGAGAAAGTTACAACAGCTTGCAGAGAATTGCAATTTACGATTCAGTAGAAAAGGAGCCACGGAAATGCTTGACAGTTTCCTGACTTAAAGAATTTCTCCCGTCCATCCCGCTGTGGGAGGAAAAAGTGCTTAACTGAGGAACTCAAACTATCGAAAAAAGCTTGGTTTGGAATGCAATGAGTTTCACACATGAAAAAAGTAAATGAATAACCGTAAATAAACAAAACGTAAAAAAACAACCACAAAAAAAAAAAAAAAAGATCAAAGCACCAAAAAGAACTAACTGGATGTTCATCAACGTCGACTCCATCATAAACTTCCTCACTTTCTTGCAATTAGTCCTCGCAGCTCACACGAGAGGTTAACTACATTTCTACTCTAAGCTGGAAATCAAATATTTCACTTGCTCTCCATAAGCCTTTTTAAAATATCTGTTAGTCATTACAGTGCAAGATGAGAGGAAGTTATTTGTTAGCAGTATTGTTGATGTTAATCAGGCTTCCTTTACAGCGAAGAACTCGTGAGTAAAGCAGAAAGCTGATACAAAAAAATTCATTTCTGAATCGATGTCATTTCCCTTCACCCTTATAACATTAGAAGAACTGAAATCATTTGTTAACATACCATATGTTTCCCCGCAAACATTTTAATACAGCTTATTTTCTGTTGATAAATATGAAAACGTGCTGTTAAGCCGTACAGTTGTGCAGAAAGATGGTGCAACCAGGAAACTTCCAAGACGAGCTTTGATAAAAACACCCTTTGCTTATCGACAATAAACCAAAAATCAAACAATTTTGCCTAGCGTAACCTGGATTAACATTTTTCAGCACGAAAAAAAAAGGAACACAAAATAGAACAAACAAACAAAAAGAAATAGAAAACAAACAACCAATCCAGACAAAACAAACAAAACGAAACTTAACAAACCAAAGCAAAAAGAGAAAAATTTAAATAATACCTTATAGACGCGACTCTTTCACTTTCGCATCACTCATTATCGCACCGCCTAAGGTATAGGTTGGAGCTAGCCAACATGAACGCATTGTGCAAAGAAAATCTAATGTGCGCGCCATTTATCCTGTTTGAAAAGCAACCCCTGTTCTTGCAAAGATGAATGTGATAATTCCCACCTCAATATTTACAGCAGCGAAGAGCGCCCGATTAAAACTATTCTTTCCGTGGTCCTATTTTTGAAGAAGGTATTGCCGACCGAAAGTGCATCCAATTTATTAAAGAAAACTGAACAGCAACCATACCTGGATAAGAGATAGTTTTGCCGGAGATTTTTTCCAGCGACAATAACAAGGAAAGATTTTTTTCCGGGTTTGGTGGTATTCCACTGATAACAAGATATCCTAACCAGTTCTGCTAGTTTTATTAACTTGCAGAACTGGTTATCTCTCAGCTGACCGGTTATCAATTGGTAGAGACAAACATTGCAGCTAAAGGGTATACTCTTTAAAGAGCACCGAATTCCTTCCACAAATCCGTTCACGAATGAAGAAATGTAAAGTGGTTTCCGTGTTTACCTGGCCTGATGTAAACACGCGGGAAGTTGGGAGAACACGAGATAAGCGTAGGAAACCACGACGCGAGGCAGAGTGGTTTCCAGCTTATCGAGTGTTCTCCCAACCTCCCAAGTGTTTACATCAGGCTATGTAAACACGGAAACCATTTTACATTTCTTTTATAAAATAACTAATGGAAGAGGAACGAAAACCGTGTTTACATATGCTCATGTCAAATGGTTTTATGGCCAATCAGAGCGCGCGTACCATTTGAATTATTTTATAATGTAATTTTCACCACAATTGGCAGTAATGTCACAATCTCATTGGCCAATTTGCCGTTGTCGAATACAGACAACACTGACCACTGTGAGGATGAATATCTTTGTCGATAAGAGTACTGACCGCGCTAAACCACTGTCGATTTGTCAAGTAGCTAAAGGGAAGAACAGAGTAAGATATTACAAGGTCAAAATGATTAATAAATTCTCTCACTTTCTAAATGAAGACTGACCTTAATAGCACTAGAAAGTTTTCGGATCCCAACCCTCTTCGGGAGGTCGACGTTTACGATGGAGATCTGTTTCTCTGGTGTGCTCTTGTTGTCATAGGACAAATCTACAAAATAATTAAAATAATAAAAAAAGAAATAAAAAAGAAACAAGGAAAGAAACACATATAAGATTATTAGACAAAAAGGAAAGAGGTGTACACTGTATTAGTATTTTATCGCTATTCGAAATTGGTTAATATTTGATTACAAAATCAGCAGTTATTTCAAGCTAATTCATTTTTTCTGTTTCCTCAGAAATAATTCTCTGAGCATTCTTCTGGAGTTTTCATGATTCCAGGACTAAAAATTTAATCGAGATTGTAAAATCCCACGACTACTCAGGTTTTCCATGATCCACACAAACCCTGAGGCTAAAATAAGAAATTAAACTTACCACTTGAAACGACCAACTCCTTTCCGCTAAGAATATGATACAGGAGAGTTTTCATCTCAAAAGGGCTCAAGTTCATGAAAAACTCAGCGGCATCTTCACCTGGAAGGCGCGTATGGCTGCACGTTAGAACGCGACATGTTATGTTCAGAGTGACTAGTTGTCGTTGTTTGGTTGTTGCTGTGTTTTTTGTTTTTTCTTTCAGTTTTACTGTCGTAACGTCTGCCGGTTGTTACCGATCAAACGCAAAACTGTTGAAGCCTTGTAAAACAATTGAAGATTAGCTTGCGAGGAGTTGTGAAAATGTAAGGCACAAACTTTCGCAAAACGGGCAGCTACGCAGGTTGAAAAAAAAAATTGGAAAAGCTGTGCTTCGAGTAAACAGACGAAAAAAAAAAAACCAGGAAAGTACATTGTTGGCGTTAAATCAAGTTCTCGATAACGCGTGGCAAAGGTTAGACACACAAATAGACTCAATTTCGCACGAGGTGTCATTTGTCGTAAACGGAAGTTCGCCCGAACATCAAGAAGTTCAGCTGCACTGGGGGAGAACCGTCCGTAGTTCGAAAAAATGAAGATATAAATACACAAACAGACAAAAACTCTTTTAGTTTCTGACCGGAACAATCCATGGATCTCGCCAACTCAGCCACCATAACTTCTATTATCAGGCCGACTCGAAGCCTCAGCATCTCTTTGAATAGAGACGGTTCAGTCCTTACAAAGATCCCAAGATAAACTAACAGTTCCTGGTGATAAAGAAGAATATTACTGGTTCGACCAAAACTGAACAAGGACGATTTTACATGGGATGAAGAACAAAACAAAGCTGAAGTGACAACCCAAACGGAATAAAAAATTGTCAAGGGGGAGAAAATACTGATCCGACGGTTTACAAAAGGTAAAGATTAAAAAATCCTACTCTCTATGCTATTATCATCGTAATCATAACCATCACAATTCTCTCAAATGTATTGGTACATCAGCTGCAAATCACCCTGTACAGTTGTAATCAGACAGTTGGCTGTAATCGGAAACCTGTAATCGGACAGTTGAAGCAGCCAATCATACTAAGTTCACTCAGCTAAATCCACCAATCACAGAATCGATCACAATAACCATAGCAACAACCTGAAAAGTAAACTGAGAAATTTCCAAATTTTTTGCTTTAGACATTGTCTCTACTGGAGAATTTTACCTGAGTGACAACACCAGTGCTCATATCTTCACCAAAAACGTTGAAAATTATATTTTTCATGTCCTGTTACTGGTTTGCGTACAAATTTTAGGAATTTTACCTGAGTGACAACACCAGTGCTCATATCTTCACCAAAAACGTTGAAAATTATATTTTTCATGTCCTCTTGCGGAAGGGGTCTGCCACGAAAAAAAAATTGAATAATTATATCAGTGTAGTAAAAACCTTATCAATATAGTGACAGAGAAGACACCACCGAAGAAAGGTTCTTTCTTTACAAGTCAATTCACAAAAGCACATTTTGAAGTCGAGTTTGTTTTTATTCTTGTTTTGTTCTTTTTTGCATCAAACGGTTTGAAAACTAATGAAACAAACGCACTACGACAACATCGTCGAGATTCACCTTGTTATGACCTCTTCGTGTCCACCCTGAGGGATCCCCACAGTCAGCTGCTTCTGGTGCACTAAAAGATCTGTAGCAGCCTGGTGAAGAGAAGAGGAAAACATCATCACAACTTTATACTTTACAACAAAAGGGCTGAAATCGATATATAGGCGATTAACTCAGACCAATGAAGTACGGCCATGCATTAAAAGAGCGAAAAGATCGAAGAGGCGGGTGCAACAAGATTGGGAGAGGTCTGGGAATGATAGGCATATGAATGATAACCCCTTCTCGAATCCAAAGTTGGGTCACAATGTCTTATGTCACAGTATAGCTTGGCTGTTTGAATATTTTTAGAATAAACAGCAACAACAAAAAAAGATGAACGGCAAACAATAACAACAGCAACAACGAACACAAAATTTGAGCTTGTCGTGAAAACGGAGGTTATTAAAGATAAACAATATACCTCGGCTAGATCCTCCACTCGTTTTCTCAACAGCCCAGCGGTGTGACGCACTAAGGACCATAGCTTACTTTGACAAGCCTTGAAATCAAACGCAACAAAATGACAGTTAAAACTTTCAACTTGTAACGTGGATAAAAAAGCATAACAGGAAAACGTTGGGTAAATGTGTAAGACTGTTTCTTGAGGATACAGTATCAGTTTTCTTTGACTTAATCTTTGACGCAAGTCCGTGTTTGAAACATTTAACGGCTAACTCCGTAACTTAAACAGTACTTCTAAGATGAATTAGTTTACCTTTTCGTAAAGCTCTCCGAGGAGTTTTTGTACTGTAACTCCTGGTTCACCAAAAAGTTGAGTATCAAAGTCTGGACCCCTAGTGAAACAAAGTAAATAGAGCCACACTATTCTGTGAATTATTTCCACGGTTCACAGAGAAGCAATAATAATCCTAAGGCGAACGCACGTTTAACATCTTGTGAAAAAAAAAAAGCCAAACAACAAATAAAACTCACAAACATGCGAAAAAACATAAACAAACAGCAGGAATACTATCAAGGAACAAAGTAGTTCGAACCAGTTCTTCGACGCATACTATCACAAAAGACTTCTAACACCTACAAATCGTATTTAATTTGAAGTTAACGATAAAATTAATCTCCCTCCAAAACAGAAGATACAAGTTCAAAAAACTTAACACTTCTCTAGTTGGAAAACCTATACCAGCCCCAGTTACGTATCTCATATTCCAATATCATTCATAATATTACATGTACTCTACTGTATATACCTAGTTTGTAAAAGTAGTAAGTTGGGTTAGGATTAGAGGAAATGTTATTGGGGTTGGTTGGCGGCAGACCTAGTAGGGGGACCCCAAGTCCTATTGTTTATTCGCCTAGTAGCTTGTACCTTGTACTGCTCCTAATACTAAAAGAAACAAATGAATAAAGCGAGCAGCCCTTGGTTTGTTATATTGGTATTTTGTGTTGGATGAAAAGTTCTTGTTGTGTTGGTTGGAGAAATTCTATTCTCTAAGATTAGGTACTTCGAGAAAATTTAACATACACAGGACTCTGTACCTTGTATTATACAAAAAATGTAGTATGTCAGCTTGGGCATCAATTGTCTCTGCTTCTTTGAGTTGCAACAGTAATTCTTCCAACTCCACGTCAGTGGACATGGCACGTGACCTGGCTGGTGTCCAACCATTAGCTGCGCGATCTTCAAATGCTTCACATCCGGGAACTTGATTTGAGAAAGGCAGAGAAAATGGCATAAATAATATCAAGGATACCTTAAACATGTAGAAGATAACCAACAGATTTAGAGGCAGTTTTCGTACGCAATTCACTTTTTCATCATTATTTGCAAATCTTCGCTATTATATTTTTTTCTTTCAGGAAAGCGTGAATGGCTTGCGTCATTCACTACGTGCAAGTTACTGTGGTTATCATGTACATCATTACCCATTCCGACATCGGCTTTCATCGTTCATGGTTAATGCTTCTAAATGTCAACCTCTCTGCAATCACCAGAGTAAACACAAAGTTTTCTTGGGTCTATATGTGACTCGTTTGACGAAGTAAAACTGAAAATATTGGTGCAGCTTTCCAAAAAACCTTGAAACTCGACAGCTTTAATGCACTTTGAGTAAAGCTGACAGAGGGAGATTTCAACCGCAGTATACGGTTATCTGTTAAATGCATATTAAAGCCTTATCAGCATTTTATATATATGCAATTCAAGTTAACAATTATTTTCCTTCATAGCATGCTCTTATTTCTTGAAATGAGCGCGTAAATATCTAATGACTGAATTGTATTCTGTTATCTTTAAGATGTTATTGCATGTTGCTAAAAAAGGTATCATACCGTTAACTATTTCATGCACATCAGGGCGTGAAATTAACTTTTTTTTCTGATAGCCACTTGGCTCCTAAATTCTTCAAAATGGTAGCCAATTCAAAAAAAGTTGGTCGCCATTTTCAAAGACAAACAAAATCTTTCTTTACGCTGTCAGCGTTCTAGATAGACCCTCCAAAATTAAGTTAGGGAAAAGATCTTTAACGTGCTACAAAGTGGACACTAGGATGTATGATATACAACGTTCAGGCTCATCTAAATCCAAGATGGCGTCTAGTTATCGATCGAGATGCATGTGCTACGTTTTGGAAACAAACTTAACGAGGAAGTTTGCCGCGGATTTATCTTTGCAAATTTATTTAATTCACTATATCTCTTAGTAAGGTTATGATGAAACGTTGTAGTCGCCAATTTGGCGACTAACTTTCAGGATTTGGTCGCCAAAGTGAAAAATTTAGTCGCATTGGCGCCTGTATTAGGCGCAATTTCACGCCCTGCACATACGCACTTTCAAAGTGTTAGGTTTGTCACTTCTTCAGTTGTTGCTAAGTTAATTTTTAAGGTGAAATTTATCACTATATTATCCTTTCATTTTAAATTAAAAGAAGATGAACTTCACTCAGGAACAGATTATAGGGTAATAATTAGGTCACTATAAACATAATTGTTGAGAATGTTAGGAAGAAAAAAGCTCTGGTGGCCACTTTTCTCTGTACCAGAGAGCTATGGTTAAATGGACGTAAACTCTACAGGGAGGTCAGTACAAGCCAAGTTACTTGCCAGTTAGAAGAGCTTTTCCTACAAGCTACATCAAAGAGGTAATGTGCAACTGCTCATTGTGTGATATAACACTACACGTTTTTTTCTTTAGCTTGAATGCTTAAATTATTTTTTCACTAGTCTATCGCCGGTGGAGCTATGTAACGACTGTGACGATATTCTTTTACTGAAATAAGAAAATTTACCTCTAATGGTGGTTGCAAAAAGTGTGAGCTTAAAAAACGATAAAAGCCTTTGAACTTGCTTCTCTATTCAGAGTCCCTCATGATTCCTTACCGTGCAAAAATAAATAACAAGTTCTATTCACAACACTGACAACAGAGGATCAAACACAAAGATTGCTACACAAAACGTAGTAAAACAAACAAACAAACAGACAGACAAACAAAGTAACAAACTAAACAAAATAATATAAAAGGAGGAAAACTGAAACAGGAAACGTATAGCCCTCTTAGTACCTGAATCGGTACCCCAGGTAGGTAATGATGGGCCACAGTCCTCATCAGTGTCAGGTGAAGGCGACTGAGGTGACTTCCAAGTCGCTGAAACTCACGTGACAAGTGCATGTTAGTGGAGTGCGTGACACATGACGGAAAGATTGATCAAAGGACGACCACGTGAAAGAGGTTTCCTAAAGTATGCCGGGAGTGTACAGTACTATGTTGGTGGATGATAAGGCAGATTGAAACTTAACATGAAGATTAATTAATCGGATTCCATTCTAAGACATTCTTTTCACGTCAAAATACAGCGGGGTTGGTAACTTCTAACACAAAATTTTCATTACTTAACTTGACGTACCCCGGACTTTCTGGTGTTTCCCCCAACCAACGGCAAAAGACTGCCTCAAAATAAAGAGCAAATGAATATTCGACCACATTAAGCCTGGTTGTTCCAGTCATTTCCGCAGACATGCTTTTAGCTATACCTTTTTTTCCTTGCGATTACTTTTTCCGTTATTTTTCTAATTTAAAGAAGAAAGTATAGGCCACTTTGCTCGTTCTAGAGCAAGAGATCATCGTAGCTGTTTACTTCGTACATTGTTATGAAAAAAAAAAACAGACAAACAAGCTTGACAAAAAATTGGCCACGTTCTCGGAATTTGCGCTTGCTTATTCGCCTAAACGTACAATGTTATTTGCAGTGTAATACTATGGAGTCACTTTAAGTCGCAGGAATATTATCTGATAAACATACATGCACTCACGTAAGTAAAGTAAAATTTAACTCAACAGAAAAGTAAACGATAACACCGTGAACAAAGTCACAGACATTGCTGCATCGCTTACGCGTTTAAAGTGTTAGATTTATTGTAAAGTTACCCTACGTCTGAGTTGCATGCGTTCATAATTTAACATAAATGCGTTGCTCAAAGCCACGTACAAGACTAACAGCACAAAGAAGTTAATGTTTACACCAGAAGTAGACTCACAGATGTTGCTTCTAAAGGCTATCTACTTAAATAATCAGCTAGTTATATAAAAATTAGGTGACGCACTAAAAAAATAGTGCGCAAAATTTTTTGAACAATGGAAGGAGTATTTCTTCATAGGAAACAAATCTGACCAAGGCTAAGCATGAGAACATTAGAGTGCTTTTTGTTCGATTGTCATGAAAATAAACTCTATCGTAATTATTACGGCCAATCGAAAAAAAAAAGAAAATTTCCTGAGCCAAATTAACTCCGAGTACCCACATTTTGCCGGCTCTGGCGCGGTATAACACGAGGTGACCAAAATACGACTGGTTTTGGATTGGCATCAGAGTGGTTGGTTGAGACGATAGCGTAAGGATTCTAAATCAATCACAGAGCTACGCGAAACGAATCTAGTGCAGTGCCAGATTCGTTCATCGCTCAATTGGGAATTTCTATAACTGCAGACGTTTCGTAAAGTCGTGAAATATAATACAAAACAATCATTAAGAGTAACTTACGAGATGTACCACCAGATAGCTCGTGGTACACTGAGATGCTTCTACTTCTTTTAACCAAACCCTTGTAACTCGACTTTCTTCTTACCGCGCTATGACCAGCACTGCTATAAGCTCGATTCTGTAACAACAATAGCAAGACAAGGTTGATTAAAAATTCCATCTAAAAAAATTTCATTTTGGGGAGGAATATGCAAATTTACCCCTTTTCTCTGCAAAAGGAAGGTTTTATTGCCTCCCCACCCCCTTGGACGGGATGCTTCCCGTTACCTTTTCAAGCTTCTCCAGCATTTCGTCGGGCTTCACTGATGGTTTGTTCTGGTAGGAGGTAGGCACTGTGAAAATTAAGCGTCTTGCCCAAGAACATAACAATGACCGAGTCAGAATTCAAATCCCGACCATTCGATCCGAGGCCTTCCGCGTGAATTGACACAGTTCTTAATCTTTTCTATCCTCCCCAATCATTGGGGCATATTTTTACCTACTAAGTGTGTGTCTAACCCAAGAGTATACGTCAGTGTTTCTCTGCATAAAAAAATTCCTACCATGCAGAAAACAGTTCAATGTACCAAGCACTAAAACTTACTCTTCCCGATGTGATTGATTCAGAATCAGTTCGCAGCAGCAGGTCACTGGGTACCCGTGACCTTCTATGTCTCCTAAAAACTGCAGGAGCAAAGAATCCACTCGTTTAAACGACGGAACTATTATCACAGACAAATAAATACCTCATATGAACCCCTCATACCCTAACATCAGTACGCATTCATCTCCATACTGTTGTCCGTTAAATTTCTTAAGGTGCTGACAAGGAGAATATGTTTAACAATCAAGAACTACTTGGTAATCAGTTCCTTCATTCTGGTGACCTAAATTTGTGATTTGGGGCTGAAGAAATTTAATGCTAGGTACAGGGGTCAAAGGATTTCAGAACAAAGTAAGTAATACTAAGGCAATAAAGAATGCTGTGTAATGAGAGTATCCAAGCCTATGATCTATCGAATATTTTTGCCCTTGTACGATGGTCTAACGCAGCACGTGAACGAATATCCCCCAGCGAAAACAGGATGATATCCGAGAGTATCACCTAATCGATATTCCCCAATTTTCAAACTTTACGTCCACTATGATGAGTCTTCGTTTCAAATTTAATTCAAGATGAGTGAGGGTTTTGTGGTTGTTACAGAAGAAGGGAAATATTTTTTTGTTCATTAAGTCGTACCAGAAAACAGCCAGGAGAAATCATTCCACGCTGAACACAGACCGCTGTTCGTAAACATTTTTTTCACGCGTATTGCAAAATATTTGACGTATAATAAACAACAACAGTCTCAATTTTACGAAAAATATCAGTTCCTCGAAGCCCACAGTTTTCTGAGAGCGAAGCTCGAGAAAAACTGTGAGCGTCTTGAAGTAGCAGCTTGCAGAGCATCTTGAAACATACAACCGTGTTTACTCGTTCGCATCTTGGAACACATGTTTTCCACGGATAAACATCCGTACATACTTTCGCGCAAAATAGAGGCTATTGTGTTTATTATGCTTGAATTAATTCGCAATGCGCGAGAAAAAATGTTGACGAACAGTTGACTGTATGCAGCGTGTGATGTTTTAATTTGAGTGCTTTCTGGTACGACTTAAAAAATTCCTTGTATGCAAAGTATAACTTGAAATACAAAGTAAACTTCAAACCCACTTCAACCCACTCACCCTCTTCAGTGTCCTCAATAAAATGCAGACCTGTAATACAGGACGTGCTCAAAAATTCTGACAGATACCCAAGACGAACCCTGTCCAAAACATAAATTACATCAGAGTAATTTTTGACTTATAGTTGAAAGTACTACAGGATTGCATTAATTTTGGGTTACAGTTCACCACACTGTAAGATTGACCGCGCTCCGATCTCTCAACCAATCAGTTGTAGATGATACTGTTTGTCACCGTGCCTCTCCTTTCCCGCACTTACGGTTTGTTTACGCCTACCAACTTTGAATTCCTAGTATGAGCTCTTGAGCTTAAACCCCTATTCTGACTGGCCTTAATTGGTGTGGTTCGATTCCTCATGGAAACTCAATATTTTCTTTGTCCCACGCTCGTGACAAGACGAAAAAACATCTTTCATTAATTTCTTTACCGAGCTCAAAACTTACAATCTTTCTCATTAAATAGCAATAATAATAATAATAATAATAAAATAATAATAATAATAATAATAATAATAATAACAATAATAAAACATTCCGTGATCCTACCTGACTCCAGATATATAGCCACTCCTCAGCATCATAATCATCTTGGAAATGGATGAATTGAGGGAGTCCTCTGAAAATAAAAACATAATCACATTTAGGAACTTGTTGGACGAAGAAAATGAATTTGAAAATTCTTTTGGAATACCTACACACGCGTTTTGAACTGCCCTTGTATATGTAATGATATTTACTGTTATCTCAAAAGCGCTCGGAGAAAAAAAAACGAAAATGCTTGGTAAAAACGAAGTTCGTTATTTGTGTGCAGTTGTACCTTGTACTGTGTTTAAGCGGGAGAATTTAGAGAGTCATTCTCACGCTATTTATAAGGGTTATCAAAATTTGTCACTTGTTATAAGTGGACATCATGGTGATAAAGACATGACTAAAGATTAAAGCTGTTCACTGCCATAAATGACATACCACTATAGCAGTAGAATTGTCCGATCAAATAGACTGTTCAAAATTTGATGGGTCAATCATATTTCCGTTTGGCTCACGCTGGCACTATAGGTCAAATTGTCCAGAGAAGTTGCTATTTTGCCACTTTCTCGATAAAATTGTAGCTTCAAGATTTGTGGTTGTCACCAACAAAGATACTGTTCTTGCTGAAGAGAACGAGACCAGAAAAGAAATGAAACCGTCCCAAATTTTCCGTCATTCAAGACCTCCTCATGGTAAAGGAATTTGCTCTGAGTAAAAACGAATTCACGCGATAGCTATTTAGTACTAAGAGTGCTTGGAGCAGCCGTGTCGACATACCCAACATTGAGTGAGTGATCGTCATTGTGAGAATCGGTCTTCCGAGTCTTCTCCAATTAGCTCCGAGGAAACCCACAAGTGACTTGATCCGATCAGCAAGGAACTCATTATCAAGAGCTAGGTAAAACTGGTGATAGTCGAGTATCTAAAACAGCAACAAAAAAGAATGCTAAATATTAACGTCAGGTACGTTGCTTAACTAAAAGGTTTATGGAGGTTTAGCCCCATTGCAAATTCGCCCCCGACAACCTTTGCGAGTTCGCTTCCTCAGGGAAGTAAAACAAGTTCGCTCCCAGACGTTTCGCCTCCTTTCCCTTTGGAAAAGCATATTTCTTTTACGTCAAAATAATGATACATTTCAATCAACAAGAAACTTCAGCGAAACCATAACATAGTTCGATCAGCATGCAAATTCTTAGGCCAATTAACCGACGCACGATTTCTGCACATATGCTCAGATTGGTCAAAAACTTATCATACCATAGCAGAAGAAAAGTAAATTTGGCGACTCATTTTTCTATTTCTCCTGTTGGTCACACCGTTTGAGGTCTCCGATAGACACCAGTAACGTGTGATTTAAATTGACGAAGTTTCTTAAACTCACTTGGGGTGTAAAAGCCAAAATGGAGTTTCCGACGTTGTACAACATGCTAGTTCCTAAGACTCCGATGTTATAGTTTGGCCTGAAAGAAAGAAAATAGGCGAAAAAAAAATGAAATCGATCGATGTGCAAAGAAAATGCAATAAATGTTGAAAAGTGAATAACCAAACACTAATAACCGGGACTTCTAAAGTGATAGAGAGAAGATAATGAACGAATCAACTTAGCTCCATCCTATCAAACAACGACAACATCATAACTACCAACAAAGGAAACAACGACGGGTGTTCTGTTATTGAGACTTACCTGCCTGTCAGATCTAACTTGAGATTTTTCCCTGCGAAAAGGAAGTCATAGTTAAAATTTAACGACACTTCACAGTTGGCAGAAAAACTCTCCAGTTAACATTTACGCTAATGACATAATTGAAGAACACTGAGTTAAAAGATAAAAGATACAACGGACACGAGAGCACCCCCTAACTTAAAAGCAGCATCCTTTCAACACTGTGCATTTGTTTGCAATGTGGTTGCTTCACATCTGCAACACGCGCAAGATTCTAGTAGCCTCATGGTTAGTGTAAGAGAGACAGTACGCTCATGACTTAATGTTGGACTCTGCATTGAAATTTCAGGTTTTAAGCCTCGGTCAAAGCCACTGTGTTGGTTTGTGAGACTATGCTTCTGGTGACTCAGGAATATGGATAGATCAATCCGTACCATTAACTTTCATGGAAACATAGATAGGAAGGAGGGGGGGGAGGGGGGGTGGGGAATGGACTAACACCTCATTAAGGATGAATACATCGGCTACCACCGGTGGAAGTTAGGTTTGGTATCCCCGTGGGGGTACAGTGTTAGTACTTTACTTCTATTTTGGCACTGTACAACTATCAATTCTGCAATTGTTCCATTCCAATTTTGTTGCTTACCAAGCTGCTGGTACATGGAGCTGAGGGTGCGAGCTGGTAGGACCTGAATTGGGCCCACATTCTGTGTCACTTTAACAGGGACATCAAGTTTTCTCAAATGACTTCTTACCAACTCATCTTCAGCAAGCAGGGACACTGTCCATTTGAGAGAAAGGTAAATATGAAACGTTGCACAAAGTACAATTAAGACAGTGCAGAATGATTGGGTCACAATCACCTGTCTTCTTTTGAGAATTCCTCCTACTACTAAAACTCTACTTCTCAATACATGTTATGACAGGATGTATTCCATGAATGAATTTATGTCACTACATCACTCTTATTTTTCTAAAACGCCTCATTAACCATGTAGGTTCCTGATTCAGTCTGATACTACTAAACAACGAAACAAAATTCTGTGTTTCGTGCAAACAACTAGTGGCTCCATACCAACGCAAACCATGCCTCTTGACCTTTTACATGGATGCAAAAACTCAGTATTCAATCATTATATATTACTATAAAACTATACTTATAGGCAAACAAAAACGGATCAAACAAACAAAACACAGACCGAAAAAAAAACAAGACTATAGTAACACGGATCCAATCTGTTTGTAAACTCTAAAATACATGAAGAGTTGGTGGGTATTGCATGTCAGATCATAGGCAGCAGAGGATTCGTATTCGACTTCATTTCCCAGCAAATTCACCTTACAATTGCAAAGCAACGCGATTTTATTTATTGTCCGTCAATACGAACGTTCGCTTCTGCATCTATTCAAATCCTATCTGCTGTAAATGCCGCTTTGAAGGTTGGCCAACAAACCTGTATCACGAGAGGGCGAGGGAAAGACAATTTGGTTTTATCGACTGAGTTGACAACGTAAATTGGCCACCGTAAAGAGATTCTAGGTTGACGTTTCGGGGTTAGCCCTTTGTAAGAGCGAATGGTAGGAGAGCCGAGGGCAGATAGTACACTGACCTTGCACCACTACATCTGGTCTTTTGTCGGTCGAATGTCTACGATTAAGAGGGTCAATCTCCCCAACTGCGATAAAGTTCTGTTGGCAGAAACAATAAATCATATAAAATTAAGGAATCGATAAAACTATTACCAAAAGGCAACTTAATTATATGCAACTGAGCTATAATTTTTAAATAATAACTTTATTCAAGTGCCCATGAAAGCTAACAAAGGGACAGTGCCCACATGCATGCGCACTTCCTATGCATAGCCCTGGAAAATGGATTCACTAATAAATGATGTGCATGCTACAATGCACCAGTGTAATAGGTTCCCTCCACAAAATGAGGAACTGTAACAAAACTCAGTAATGCACTGGCATCAGGGTCACAGGTAGTTTCAATCTGCATTAAGGGATTTTGTCCTGCTATTGCCAAACAGGCTAATTAAAAAAGATCTCTTGCTGTGTAATTATTCTCTTACTTTACTGTACGTGTACCTCTTTTAGCAGACATGCCAGAACATAGAGCGAGTGAGACCACAAGTGCAACACATATTCCCCACAATTCCTTTCCACACTGTGCGGATTAGCTTTCTCAACATCAACCTTAAATGGTCACAACACGCATACACATTCAATTTCGTAAAGTTGACATGCTTTTAACAAGTTCCCAGTAGATCTATAACTTATATAACTTTTAACTAAAGATACATCTACAAAAGCAATAAAGAAAAACAATTGAAGGTCACAAATGCCATTCTGATTAAGATTGTCTTTTGAGCTCCAAGCAGTAACCGCTGTGCACTTAAAACATCAGACATGCTGAACTCTTTGCCCCCTAAGAGTGACTAGCATCTACATCTAATTTCTCCTTACAATACCATCCCTGAAGCAAACATTATGGTCATAAGAATAAACAAAATGATCACCACCTAAAGAAGTCCTTGATTGTTAAACAAATTCTCCTTGTCAGTACCACTTGGAATGTATAGAGAAAAGTAGGGAGAATTTGCTTATTAATGTTGGGGTGTAAAGGGTTAATCAAAATGACCAAGTGAACAGTATGCAGAAAACAATTTCAACTCACAATCAAGTTGGGATTCTAGGCAGTCAAAATTTTATTCTATATACAATGTGATAAAACTGCACTTCAAAATTACAGTGTCTGTATAGTAGCAACAAGAACTTTAAGAAAAGTACTACACGAATTATCAAGAGATATTTAAAAGACATTAGATATTTGATGGACATTTCATGCATGAATTGAGTTTTAAATAACTAAAGGTAAGTTATTGAAGATTTCCTTCCAGCTTTCCATGCTTGAAAAAATATTGAATTTGGTTCTAAAAATTTTTAAAGCAAATAAAAGGAGGAAGATACTAAAATCAGTGTACATGTAACTTAAGATAAACTCTACTTTGTTTGACTAACCTTGTCCCTGGGTACATAAAAGAATTCTGGAACTAAAGGAAGACCACCTTCATCTCTCACAAGCAGAGGTTCCAGCAGCTTTGTGTATGTTTTCACCTAAGATGCAGAAATACATGACTTAAATATATTTTTTTGACCACTAAATTACTTGCACCAGGTTCTCCAAGTTTTTCTTTTTTATTCAAACCTCTGTAATCATTAGTTTCTCTGACCTACAATTAAGAGAGCACAGGAACATAGTTATCATGAAGATTCTCCGGGTCAGCCAAAAATGACATTTAATTTTGCAGCACCTTCCATGTGCATTTAAATTATGCGCTTAAAAGACTTGACTCCAGACCAAAAATTCAGCTGAATATATTTAGATAAGAATTCCTCAAATGCCAAAAAAAAAAAAAAATTTAACAGAACAAAACAAAAAATGGAAGCCAGTGTTAGTTAAAGTACATTCACTTCAGAATTTCCTCTCTACAGGTGTATCTTTGATAATTGTCATATTTTCAAAGCAACAAATTATCATTATGGCAAGAGATGTAAAATCCACATTGATGTTAAAATTGTTTATTTTGAAGTATTTCACGATTGTAAATGCATGGCTTGAATTGAATGTAGCTAAGAAAAAAAAATAATTGATGGACAAATTTATGGTATTTTATATTGTTTAATACCAATGGCAGGATGACACAAAAAAATCCATTCTTATTGCTTGATTCTTTATTCAATGACCTGTTTAACGACACATATTCTGTGTTTGAAAAAAAAAAATGTATCTTATCCAATGACCTGTTTAACAATACACATTCTTGTAAAATTTAAAAAACGATCTCTGGCTAAAACTTTTAAAAAATACGAGCTTTCGGCTGTTTGCGCTACAGCCTTCAACGGGTAAAATGATAAAAAGGTAAGAAATACTAGGTGTGAAGTACAAAGTAAAAAATTAAAAATGCTGATAACTAAGAATGTTTGTTAAAAAGAATGTTGTATTGTCCGGGCAAAGAACAGGAATTGTTGTCCGCATTGGGGGTTAACTTGGAATGCCACGCTTCTAGTGTTTTTCTTGTTCTAAAACCGCCTTTGTCAATAATAGATGCATTATCAAAGTCTATTGCGTGACTATTGGCCCAGACGTGATTGGCAATTCTTGAGCCTTTTGCCGCGGTTTTCACATTTCTGAGGTGTTCAGTCTCACCAATATAACACCATGAACAGTCACCACAAGGAATTTTATAAACAACATTTGTTCGCGATTCCAACGATGGTCGAAATTTTTTTTTGGAGCCGGGAACTGTTGTTGGAGGGTGATGAGTGGTTTGTTCACCACTGTGATGTCGTGTTTTTTTTGAGGACACGAGTCAGAGGTTCTGTTACGCCTTTAATGTATGGAAGAGAGGCGAACGACTTGCGTGATTCGGACGCCTCGACCATCTTGAAAAATGTGCCAACAAGTTCCTCCGGGGACAACACTGTTGAGCGTCGGGTTTTTTTGGCCTGGATGTTTTTAATGAAATTCGATGGGTAACCATTAGATTCAAGTGCTGAATGGAAGAAATCGAGGAAAGTGCGATTAACAGTTCATCCGTCCCTCCTAAAATCTGGAAACGTTATGTCGATGATAGCTTCTGCATCATCAAAAAAGACAATGTGCCAGCTTTCCATGACACATTAAATTCAATTGACGCCAACATCTCTTTCACCATCGAAATTGAAAGTGACAATAAGATCTCCTTTCTCGACACTTTGGTCACCCGTAGAAATGGCACCATCGCTGTCGATGTTTACAGAAAGCCTACGCACACGGACAGATATCTAGACTACAATTCTCACCATGATAATAAACACAAGGCCAGCACAGCAGCAACTCTTCTACACAGAGCCCTAAAGCTACCCAACTCCTCCGAAGGAAAAGAACGAGAACTTAACCGAGTTTATTCAGCACTTGAATCTAATGGTTACCCATCGAATTTCATTAAAAACATCCAGGCCAAGAAAGCCGAAAGCTCGTATTTTTTAAAAGTTTTAGCCAGAGATCGTTTTTTAAATTTTACAAGATGTTTTATCCTGGCTGCGGCCCCTCTATCTTTTCAAATACACATTCTGTGTTTGAAAAAAAAATTAATGTATCCTGTCAATTTTTTCAGCAGTTAAAATTTAATTTAACAGCATGTCATGGCTCCTTTATGATAATATTTCATAATTGAAAATTTTACAAAATATTAAACCATGGTATCCCTACATTTTTGTTCACATACTCTTCTGAGTAGAATTAAATTCATAAATTCAATATCACTGTGCTGCGTATTTCTAAATCAAATTCTTTCTTGATGTACTTTACAATTTAAAATTCTGACATATATTGTATGTACAACCTCTTTGACAAAAGGGTATTCAAGAAGATTACTGTTCCTCACCCTCTATTAAACACCCTTTTTGGTATACAAAGAAGAGATTGTTTGAGACAAAAGGCTACACAATTAGGTAGACCATAAGGATTAACAGAACCAGTGGTCAACCACAATAGCTAGAGACATAATTTGCATAAAAGACTTTAAATGATTTTAGATTAAAAACACAATGGTAAAAACATGTAGAGTAATTTCACGAGAACTGAAAAAAAAATTCAATGATTGCTACATTGTCATTAAAAGCTCCAGAATTTAAGCCTTTCTGAATAGGAATATTTCCTTTCGGGGGGCCAGATTGTTTACAGAGATAGCAAAATGTCAGTGCACTTGTATTTGTTCAACAGAAAAGCAATATCAACGTGGTTAACGCCACGCCAATTAAATAAATATTTAATTGGATGAAGATAAATGGAAGGCACAGAACAAAGGACTGACAGAACAATTCTTAAATTTTGATGTTTACTTAGAACAGAACCAACAAAACATCTGGCATTCATGGTAATCTCTTTACCCTGTAATATGTTGTACATGCCACAAACATTTCAAGATCTCTGGTTTGAATCCTTCTTGTAATATTCATGGATGATTTTGACTCTCAAAAAACACCAGACAACAACTGAATCTTGTGTGTATTCCACCCCAGAGCAAACATCACTACCACATAGCATTGCAGCTAAGGTACAGATATTTTGATTTGATCAATGAAACCATGCCATGAGAAAACAAGAGGACAAAATGGTTCAAGTCTCTCTTCCAGCAAACAACCATAGCAAAGTTCACACCTCTAGAACTATTCCTGTGAGTCCCACAGCACCGGAACACTTTTCCATTGAACAAATCAACAAACTAGAGAGCAAGTTTTTACATCAAAAGTGGCCGGATAAAACAAGAGTTGTTGTTATAGCAATGGAAAGCAACTTGCTAACTAGAGATGTGGAGGTAAAAACAATAATTTTGCCCTAGAATCAATGTTCACCCTCTATAAAATATCTTTTAACAGAGCATGTCTTGGTGTCTGCTCTCCTGAACATAATACTGTCATTCTGATAAACAAAATGTTACAAAAGTGACAGAATGTCAATGAGTTTCACAAAGGTCTACAATATAAGAAAACCCTACATGTAAATGTACATATGTATCAACAACAATATATTATAACTTTTTTTTACCAATGAAAATTGAACACTTTTCTTTTGAGTACAAAAAAACCTGCTTTCAAGCTAGAAGAAAACCCAGTCAAATGAAAAAATCATGTTACAAGTGTTTAGAATTTTGTGGCTGTTTAGTGATGAAAAGGGTTTGACTCATACATGCAAATAAACATGTACTTTGAATCATATAATGTTATATACTATCACACCAAGAACCATTTTTTGGTCATGAGAATTGTCTTACAACTGTTTGGCCTCTTGTATACTGTGATAGCAACAGATACACTATAACACTGCCCATTGTCTAAACTGTCTTTCTGATACTCTAATGCAGAAAAATTGTGTTTCTTTTTTGTTTCAATCATCAGCTCTGGTTCCAAGCAAGAAGAGAAAAGTGGATGCAAGGAGTAATTGCTGCCATTGCTTTGGCTAAAGAGTCTTTATCAGAGCATCCATGACCATTTGGATAAAAAAAATTAACTGAAACAATCTATGCACTTATTTCTGTGTAATAAAAGTTCAAGAAGACAAATTCAATGCTTGGACCAAATGACAAAGTGATCCTTGGAATACACAAAAAGAATACGAAAAGATGACATTCCAAATCAATGCATTTGGTGGTGAGACGGCACTTCCTTAAGAACAGCTCAGATACAATCAAAGGCTTTTTCTGCTGAGACATGTGGTAGCATGAAGATAGTTTTGATTGAGCAAGGGGAGAATATTCTTGATGCCTAGGCAAAAATAGCTTATGCCAGTTGGCTTTCACAGAAAAATTTTGAGTAGTAGCAAGAGTATACTCAAAACATCATCATGAACATCCTCCTGATTGCCCAGAGTAACTGATACATTGTATCAACAATTTACATGTATATTGTGTCTATAAGATGACTGCCTTTTTCCAGTCTGGCTTCCATTGATCAAGCTTTATGCCATGAAACATATAAATATTAAATATTTTTTTATTATTTAAATCAATATTTCCATGCACATGACAAGTGAATGCATTCTGAGCAGCAAGACATTAATCTCAATAATTAAACATTAATTTTGATCATGTAAAAAAAAATCTTATTATAGTGCTAAATTAATAAAACAATACATGTACAAAGCAGGACTGCACAGAGAGTTTTTCAACTGAATTGGAAGCAGATTACAGACTGAACAAAAAAGGATCAATGGTTTATTTGGGTTAATGCCTCAAATGTAGTTATGTTTAAAAAAAGAAAAGAAGAAGAACTAAAAACTCAAAGTGCTAACACATTTGTTGAGACTTACCTGCTCCTCATCATCATGAAACACACCATCAAGAAGGAGGTAACAGAAGAACAATGGCCATTCACATTCGATATTCTCAAAGATCTCCAGTTCAGCTGGTTCATAATGAAGTCTGAATGGGTCCTGAAGAAAAAAAATTACATTGTGTGTAAGAACAGGTTGTCTTCACCCTCTGCAAACACAGTGATTTGTAGTAATACTAATGGTATCAACCCTTCACACCCTAACATCAGTATGCCAACTATCTTCTCCCTACTGTTCTCTATACATTTCCCAAAGCGCTGACAAGGAGAATTTAAGGAGAGCTTCTTTAGCTGGTGATCATTTCCTTTTCTCATGTGACCATAATGTGTAATTAATGGCTGATACTGTTAGGAGAAATTAGATTTTAGTCACTCCTAGGGATCAAAGGGTTTAAATCACAGTGTAAGAAGTAGGACCAAGGATGCAACTGTCATAAGTCAGTAACAATCTAGACCAATCTTGTAAGAGTACACACTAACCTCAAGTGGAGTTTTATAACCATCTCGGATGAAACGAGTAAGACCATATCGACCCTATCATCAAAGATCGGAAGAAAGATTTAACATGATAGCTACTGCACAAAGTTGAAGTGATAGAATGTTCTGTAATTAGATCATACTTATCAAGGCTGAGATCAAATACTGTGATATCCTTCAAGTATAGATCAACTTGTACAAAATCCCAAGATAAGAAAACTATTTACAAGGATGAAAGACATGAGTATTTTTGATCAGCTATTTTTTTTCATTTAAATTGATTAGACCCAATTTTGATGACTTCACCATCACCATCAACTAAACCATGTCAAAATAAAAATATATTAAATCACGTACAAGATGTAATATTGAACAAAAAATACACATATCAACAAACCTGAAGTTTTGAAATTATTTTTTCCCTAGATTCTTTGACTAGATCTGCATCTTCAACGGCAAAAGCTGGGAAACTAATTACACTCAAAACAGAAGCAGCAACTTCCTGTTAAAAATAAGCATGTTTGAAATAATCACATTATACTGCTATCAAAGGTTATAAAGGGAAAACTGAGTATGCTACATGGTTGTAAAGTGAACTACACTGTACACTTAGCCCCAGAAAATCCAGTTAAAAGTGTTCTACAACTACATGTACATTTGTACACATGGTGTTAATTATTATTAATATTAATTATTTTACAAATCTTTTGAAAACTTTATCAAGTAACAAGAAGATTCAACATGTAAATGTGTGTGGCAAACACCTATTTTTTTATTGTAACTTGCTATCTTGCTTCATCACTTGGCCAGTAAGATTAAACAGTTTATTTCATATCTACACTACTGTCAAGACCCACACTCTGTTAGAAAACTTCAACAATGTATAAGTAGCATGACAACCCTTTAACTCCCTGTTCAAATTTATTGTTCTCTTTACTGTCAACCATACAATTCTTGTAATGTTAGTTCTGAGAATTTAGTATTGGATCAACTTATTATCCCCAAATTGATATTTTTTATTCTCATCACTTATCTGGTTGATATTGTATTGATATTGTAAGGAGAAATTCTGTCTTGGTCACTCATGGGAGTTAAAGGAATAATAGACTACAATACCCCAGTTCTAGCATGGACATGTACAGTAAAGGAACATCACAAATTTTCAAATTTATTACATTGTACGTTTTGAACTACTATCACTATTATTGATCCAAAGTTCTCAAAGTCAAAGTTAATAACAGTCATACTATAGATGCAATCAATAACTACAGTATTAAATAAATACCTATGAGCAATCATACTGTGCTTTACCTTGGAATTGGATTCTCTTGGTACCATTGACTGTAAAATAGCCTAGTAAGAATATAACAAACAGTATACACGTAAGAGAGAAAACGCTGTACAGCAGAGCACATTTTTTAAAAAACCTTTTCTCAATATTTTATACTCCATTCATTGTCATAATGTGCAAGGTGCTGATTGAGTTAAATCTGGGGAAATTTACTGTAACTGTTTAAAAAAGTTGAATTCGTTTAAAAATACACAAATTACTGTTGTTTATTCAGTTGTTTGTCCAAATTGCCTCAAAAAATTTCCACATTTCAATATGAACCCAGTATGTTGAGAAAACAAGTTCCACTCTAACAAAGGAATTCGCCAAATGAAAAGTGATTAATATTAAATGCTTGGTATAACCTTCAAAGTATTTTATCAAACATCTCAAATAAGCTAGTCAAGGCAGATGTTTTGGTCACTGTACTTACCTTACACTGCTGGATATCATCAGGAAGAATATGGATAACAGAGGCATGTCCTCCCTCTGGGCCAAATAAATCCAAACCATCCAATGCTTCCAGAGCAGCCTTTGGAAAGAAAAAAAGCAAACCCATTACACCATTCAAAAAGTTACACACATCTAAGCTCTCCCTTAAATGGAAGGGGTAAGTTTCTGAAGAAACTGTGGTGCTGTGATAGTGGGAGAGTATAACAGGGTAATTTGGTATTATCAACTGAGTTGATAACTTAAATTGGCCACCATAAACAGTTTAAAAGCTGATGTTTCGAGCTTTAGCCCTTGTACATGTAGTTATCTCTGAGGAGAGGCTAACACTCAAAACATCAGATTTTAGACTCATTACAACTCTCCTTTAAAAAACTTTTTGAGTGAATCAGGGATGGATCTAGAGAAATAAAAGAGGGTGAACCCAATCATTTCAGTAAGAAAACAACCTTTTCCTGTAGCAGCAATGGGTTCACAGTACAATGAGATCATCCAAGTGAGGGTAGTCCTTGGAAGAAATTTTAACAGTGACTGAGACTGAAATTTTTCTGACCACTTGACTGACAGCCAAATGTCCTTCATGTTCATGTGTTCTTAGTCTTTATCGTGACAACTGTTTGGTCAGTTTTTCCAAGATAACTGGCTGTAAGATGCAAGTGGTGCATACAGGTTATGATTGGTTAGTTTTGATCGCATGCTAAAGTTACAATAGGGTCATTCTGTTTAGTTTAATGGTTTTGAGTATGTTGTTAGTGCATCTGTTTAAAATTTGCTGAGGAGCCAAATATTCTTTACATGAATTTTAAAATGCTTTAAAATGCTCAATGAAACTCTGAAAACATTTCAAACACGCTTAAATGCTTAGTGTACCCTCAGAAAGACCCTGCCTTAATAATGAAAAGTGAGATTAAAAATAATGTAGATTACACAACCCAGTGTACATGACTTGGGTATATGTGTTAATTAGGCAGGTGTTATGTGTAGGTATTTATAAATGTCTTTTTGTCAAATCAAGTGCAAAATTAAGAAACCTTTGCCATTCCAATGGAACTTGTATTTAGCTCTGGCATGCCATGATTAAGTTTGTCCCCTCTTTCCCAAATACCATAGTCCTGAAAATATAGGAATGCACACATCATACAGATAACATTTAATACACTGTATATACATTGTAGCACAATGTTCAAAATTCAAAACTATGATAAGTATTAGTTACTTTTAATCATTAAAATAATGATAAAAAAAATAATAATACATCTAACAATAATAACTTTTTTTTCATGATCATTTAAGTTATGCACAATTTTTACATTTGTTTAATATTATAAAAATTGCTGATCTTTTTTTTATTCTATGGCTGCTAGGTATGAGTAAGTCTGAAAATAAACAAGACAAAAAATATCAAACAAACAAAAAACCAGAGAAACTTCTCTCAAATTTATTAACAATCATTTACTGTCCAATGGAAAGCAAATAATTGAAACATATGGCATTTTCACATGAACATGTGTATGATAATCAATAAAACTGCATAATACAAGTCACTTACTGGGATGCAAAATGCTTTTTCAATGTAGAACACCAGATTTTGAATAAAGGCAACTTCATCAAGAGTGAAAATAATTTGTATTCCTATACAAATAAAGAAAAAAATGAAATATATGTAACAAAGAAAGCAAATTATATGACAAAATAATCAGTGAGTAAAAATATTAAGGAAAACTGAATGTAGCTTTTTGTAATGATTTTGTTTTGTAATTATAAGGCAAAGGACACTTACAGTATCAAAGCTGTATCATTAAGTTGTAAAAGAAACAAACAGCTACAAACTTGTAACAAATTACACTTGACAAAGTAATGTATGTAAACTAGCTTTAAATGTACCTGAGGCAGTCATTTCAGCCAACATGAGGAGGTAGAGTGATGTGGCATCAATCTGAAGATGTCCCCAGGCATGGTCTCCAACACATGGACTACAAGTCTCTGCCACCATGATCAGATCACATTGCCATTAGCATTTAAACAAAGAATCTCACAAACAATTTCTACTTTGCCCAGGCTGTTATTACTCACTTAAATTGTATTTTGCATGTAAGGCATCCTCCTTTGCTTGAGATTTCTTAAATTTTTCAACCTTTTCAACCTGGAAATAAATCAAGAACACTAACTATTGAACATACATTGTGAAAGATCAAGCCTGCTGTGATTCTGTTTCTTACATGTACACTGTAGGAAATAGGAGGTTTTCATTTGAATAATAAACTTTCTATAAAAGAAATTGATGGTACGTGTACCTGTCTCATCATACAGAGCAGCAAACCTCTCATGCACTTTACCACAGCCTAAAACAAACAATGGAGAGAAATTAAAAGTATCAGAGGGAAAAAATAAGGGCAGGTGTACTAATAAGAGAGGAAGGGGCTCAGTTCTATCTGAGCTCCACACTCTAAATGAAAAATAAATATATGGTGGTAAGATATTTGCTGTTATTTCAGATTATAACATTTTTCAACATGACCACAAATGTGTTTACGATAAGATTACGCAAAAAATGTGTGAACTGTTAGATACAGGGATAGAGTTCACGTACTACACATGTTTATAGGTGTACATCTCTAGCTTCTCTATCAGCAACAATCTTGAACATGTTGAACAAAGAACTCCAATGGATACAAATGATCTACAGTTACAAAATATAAAATTTGGTAAAATTTCCGCACAGCCCCATACTTCATTATACATTCAGTTCTTGAATATAGAAAACAATGACTAAAAACAATACATTGCCATTGGGAAAACAGATTTGTTTTACGCAACAAGCAGTTACTCTGACTAATGTTTCAATGAGACTTGCCTGTGTAAGTTCATGTGCCCTTGCTCTGTCCTCATCCATGTCAGCGTTCTTTCTGTAAGCAAGTGACAGACCCCACACAGCCAGGATACTGTAAACATTGTCCCGCACCCAAGCATCCTTACAGTCACAAGATCTTGATTTATAAGCATTCCAGTCGATTTTCGGTGGCAACAGACCAGTTACTGGATCCTGAGATCAAGAAAGAAGTAAAGTCACAACATCTGTTTAGCAGTCTTGCAGAATACATATAGAAATCTCTTTTCTTATCAATGAATTAGGCCTTAAAAAAAAACTATATTAACAAAAACTAGCTGACAAACAACAGTAAGATTCATGCCCCAGAAACACTCGATTTATATCAACAGCCATAGCAATTTCGGATAAAGGCATACCTGAAAATCTAATATTGTCCGGTTTACGAGACGATGATACCAGTCCAGACGAACAATGGAGTTGCTTCTGGCCCTCATGACTTCTTAATCTAATGAATTGTCCATCTGCAAGGTCTTTTCTAAAAGCAAAACAAACTCATCCATATTCCCATGTTTCCGCCATATTTGATTCGCTGACGTCAAATGTGACCGCAATTTGGAAAAAGCCCTGGGTCTGAATGGTGACGTCCCTGCCCGCGTAATTTGACGCAACCAATCGTAACGATGGAAACTTGCAGCAGCTTGTTCATAATTTGTGGCGCTTTGGTGAACGGGGATTTTCGGTAAAGTTTAAGAAAGTTTCATTTTTTCGGAATAACTGATACACAAACAATCTTTCATTTTAGCATAACCGAGATTTGCTGAAAGAAATTGAAGGGAATCTGAATAGATATTGTCACATGACAAGTCGATCGTATGATTTTGCGAATCCTAAGATGGCGGTATATTCAAATCAGCTGAATCAAACACAGGACCTCCTTAGTCAGGTAAGCTTTCCTCAAAACTTGGACGGCAAGATTTATTTCTCTTTTTCCCAAGTACAAGGAAAATTTTAATATCCTTTAGAACTGTTAATTTGATTGCACACTAAAGGAGAGAAACTTGCGTTTCATTATATTCGATCGGTAGGAATTGTCGAAACTGGAGAACTGTGGAGAATCGACAAGGCAGGTAAGACAATTCTGATTGCTGTGCTTGAGATCGATGACTTATCCTAAGCGAGTAATGACTGAACGCATTTACAAAGCAGCAACAACGAACTGCAAAAATATTAAATGAAACACCGTTAGTTCTGATTTATTGAAAGTCACAGATGAAGGATAGGATTATTCTGATTTAACACTTTTAAACAGAATGAATTAAAGCTGGTGAACATAATTTTTTCAGCTCTTATATGACAAGTTTTTCTACGCTACAGGACCGCTACTCCCTACATAAAGTTTACTTTGAGAGTTTGATTGACCAGTACTCAACATACAGGGATCTGCTTTCCAGGATAAAGGTACAGGAAGTTATCAGCACAAATCATTGACACATTAGATGAAACACCTCAGGTACAGATCTATTGAAAATAACAGAGTACGACGAGGGATTATGCCAATGTAATTCTTCCAGAATAATGAGTTTGTTGAATGACATTAGAACGACATGAAACAGCAGATTACGGCTGGACTGCAAACAAGGGGCGGTTATTGTGCCGAATGTACGGAGCCCAGTTAGCGTCATCTCGTATTTCTCATCAGTTCTTTTTTTTTTTTTTTTATCAACTTTTTATCAACGACTTAAACATTCCGGCACGGCTTAAACATTCTGGCACGACTTTAACTTTCCGATATGACATAAACTTTCCGGCACGACTTTAACATTCCGGCACGACTTTAATTTTCCCGCACGACTTCAATTTTTCGGCACGACTTTTTCATGGTATGACCTTTAACTTTTTCAGCCGCAAGACTCAACACAACAATCAACGCGGCAGTGGCCTGTTGTCTAGGGCATAAATTATTAAGAGCAGCGAGGCATATTAGGTTTTCAAATTGTTTTTATAAGGCTTTTGGGATCATGGTTACTACCCCATTTCCAGAGTCCCTTCTGTCATAGTCTCCCTTTTTGCTTCAAGGTGGCATTGAGAGGAGAGACCCTGGAATTGTAAGGTAACCTACATGTAGCTGGATTCTTCTTTTCCAGATGTTATTTTTCACAGTAATATCATTTTGACAGTTAGAAATTATAAAAATTACCCAACGAAGATCTGAGTTATTAGTGCCAAAAGTAAAAATTATAGGATTACAAATAACAACAATTTCTAGAAGAAGACCAGGTTGCAAGATATGCTCTACCTCTTACATGACTTTCTAAGACTTCATGCCTTCATCTTTTAAGATTTTTTTATGAGATATTGTGTGGCCCCTCCCAAGTGATTGCACCTGTTGCTTGCTCCTCCATCAACAGCAATATACACAAAAAATTTATCTAAGAGAGGGAAAAAATTAGTTCATTCAAACTCCTGTTCAAAGTAACAATAAAGAGGTACTGTAGGTAATCAAATAGATTATCATAACATTTTTCATGGTAAAAGAGCCTCATTTCACAACTTGAATGAAATAAATATTATGGTGACCAGCTGATAATACTTGAGTGACCAAACGATCCTTGCCGTGAGCGGCAAATTAAGCAGTTGCAGATTGAAAAGAAAAAAAAAAAGAAGAGAAAAGATAAGTTAAAAACTGATCTTGATTTATTTTTTATGGGCACCTTTCTCTCAAATTGGAACTAACTTGAGAGTTTCTTATGTTAATAATTACAACTTCCTTTGTTACTGCAGTAACTCCAATTGATATCCTACTACTGGTTTATCAAATGGAGGTCAATGCACAGTTTAATTAATAAGTTCTTTTTTAACTTGTAGGCAGAGTATGAACATTGTATAGCTGCATTAGAGAGAGGTCAGAGAGAGGCAGTGTATCTGTCAGAAAAGTTAGCGGCAACTTTAATGGAACATCAAACATTTAGGTAACGGGAAACAACATCAGTTGACAAACTGAATGTCAAGAATAGTGAAAAAAAAGATCAATTTTTTGTAAATTTCTATTTAAAGAATGTTGAAAACAGTTGTGACATTTTTTCCCTTGACACCATCGGTAAGCCATCATAAACTTAAGTTGTGTCAGTTTAACTGAAGAGAATTATTTCTTTCCTCAGGAACATCAAGGCCCGTGCAGATGAGTTAGAATTGAAGGTTACATTGCTTAGAATGCATAATCAGAGGTTTGTGAAGCCGTGAATGTCTTATGAAACTACAGTATAAAGTGGTGAAGCGCCTAGCTAATTTGATAAGGAAGCCGGATGATACAAGCTGACGCTACAAATTGAAGCCCACAGAAGAAGTACGGACGAGGTCACTTTTTATTTCTGGCACTACCCTCGCGTTTACCTCCGCTCGACAGAGAAAAAAAAGAAAACAAGCCAAAACGAAAACGAAACAAAAATAAAACAGCCGTAAAAACGTGGTCTGTTCTGAAGTAATACAATTGCATTAAAATAATCTCCATTTTACAAAAAATATGGGGGGCTTACAGTGTCACCACGGCGACGCATGGGGAAACATTACCTTAAAAAACAAAACAAACTATCCTTTCTGCTAAGAATCTCGCCAATGTATTTATCGTTTCTAATGGGGTGACAACTTCTCTCTGGCTTCACATGATAATGTTGAGTTGAAGTAAAATCTTAAAAATTGCTGTCGAGGTTTTCATCATAAGAGTACACAAAAATTGAAAATTTCACGTTGCTGTTCTGCATTGGAAGGCTAATAAATGTACAAAGTATTAAAACGCATATGCTACGTTATTTTTTTCTCATTGGGTCTTTCGTTTCTCCACTTCTCGTTGCTGTTGCCGTCGCGCTTTTCTTTAAGATTCAGACGATGGAAGGTAGTCCTTCCCAGTTTTACCGGTTTTCATGTTTTATTCATTTATTAATCTATTTAATTTATTAGTTATTGTTATTATTCGTACTATTATTTCAAATACTGTTTGTATATGTTATTCACCATTGATAAAGGTGATTTAAAGGGCTTCGAAACAAACATTAAAACATTATTTTTATAAGTATCTGTCACAATTTGACACCTGTCAATTAGAGAGCGCGTAAGAAAAAAAAACGCATGTGCTCTTTTGAAAAAAAAAGTAACTAGTTTGGCAAGGACTGTCACGACAATTTCTCCTTCAAAACCAGTTAATGATCTTACGGAAAGTATTATTCACTCTCGTGATTAATTAAGATTAATTAATGTACGAAGATTTACCGCTGTTCAGTTAAGTAAATGGCAAGGAAAGTAATTGTAAATAAATTCAAATTTTACATTTTCATACTTATCTGTTTGCTGCAATGGCGTGTGTTAATTTGGTCTTTTCTCCACAAAAACTGAATTCGTATGAAACACTTCAACTAGACACAAGGGAATTTAATGCGGCTTTTTCTCATTGAATTCTTTCAGTTTCTGTTGTTCAATCTACCGTAGAAATGTTCATATTGAACGAACTTGGAAAGACTCACCAAAAGCGTATTTGTCGTAGAACTCAGTGAAAACTTCGCTCGCCCTTTCACTACGAACAAATTGTTTGAGAGAATTCAGAAATTACATGAATGAAAGTTCCATCGATGTATTGAATTATAACCAAATAACTCTCATTTTAACTTTCTAGGTACTTTTTGTGAAAGATTAAAATTTATTATATTTTAGGCCGCTTGTCAACCGATTTAAAGACCCTTTTGCCTATACATATTAATTTCGAAACCAATATTTTTCTGTCAACCAAAGTGATTTGTGAGAGAGAAAAGAGAGGATTAATAAGTTATTCATCGGCTTGAGGTAGTGACCGACGTCTTTGCTTAAAATAGTGCCCAGCAGGAAAAACGAGATAAATTTATGAAAAATGGAAGTGAAGGTAGGGATGTACTCAGCGTTTCCGTGAGTAGAGATAGGAAAATACGGACCGCGCTAAGAACCAATCAGATTGCAGGATTCATTGCCGGGTCCTCTGAGGAAAAAAAATATATTCTTGAGGTGGACATTTTACAGTGTCTTGCTAAAATGTTTCATTTCTCTTAACTCGTCAGATTGTCATCCAGACAGATCAGATCATCCGACCACTGTCGTTATTCATCCAGAGAGAACAGATCATCCAACCAACGTTATTCATCCAGCCTTATCTCCCCAGGTAGGTCTCATGAAGCACGATTAAGAAAATACAGCGAGAAAGAATTTCAATTACAAAAAAAGGTGCAAGCAGTTAAATGGTCACAACACAACTTGACTACGTTGTTTTAAAAATGTTTTTTGGATATATTCAAACGTGCCCACGAGTCAAAGATACTGAAGCCTACCAGGAGATAATAAGAATGAACTGCGAAGCATTCTGCGAAATTTGAGGGCTAAATAACCATTAACGATTTTGGTTCGAGCCCGTTTTTTGGCAAAACTGCTCCCGTGGGTTAAGGACTGCCACACGGTTCCCAAAGTATGATTAAGAGGACCACAAGTATTGAGGGCTTGTCTTATGCCGCTCATGCTCGCGTCCGCCGCTAGAAAACCGCACAAACATGACTACTCCTCTTCTGGAGGCGTTTGTTACTCCGGTATTGATTAATGCATCTACAAGAACCGAGCTTGTTAGCAGGGTCTTTCCCTTTAATGGCTGTTTTCAGGTTCTCTTTCAAGTTGGGACCACTCGCGCACACCACGTTCGCGCTTTTTTCCAAGTCTGACAGTGGAAAAGTTGACGGATACAGCATTTCTGACCAAAAAGGTACATATTTTAGCTCGATTTGCTTGTACTCCCTTTTTGAATTTTGGAGGTTGTATTTAAAGCTGTTTTTATTGTTTTTTTTTTCTTCTTGCTTCGTTTTCGTGTTTTTGTTTTGTTTTTAGGGTTTTGAGTTATGTAGGTAGTATATACACGTTGTCGAACCGGCAAAGAGGTTACGGTTCTATTTGCTCAATATTTCTGATTATTATACGGCTAGCTCTGCGAGTGGGTCAGGTGAAGCGAACTTTGTGTGCTTATTGATTACTTAAGCGATAGAAGGAGCGTGGTTGATAATACACGTTTTTATGTACGTGATAGATCGGTTGTACTCGTTTTATTGGAAAAGAGGTAAGGGGGGCAAGTATTAACAAATATTTCAAGTAAGGCTGAATACAAGTGGAGCAATTTTCAGTTTAGGTTTGAAGGAATTTCAAAATTGGTTCGGTGTTCCTTTCCTTCTCATTAACTCCGTCGTTGGTCCAGAAAACTCGCTCCCTACAAGACTTAAGCTAATCACGTCATGGTTTCTCGTGTTTCCTCGCTGCTTGTGTTACCTATAAATTCTCATCGTTTGGTTGTGATGGTTTCCTTTGCTCTGAATGGCTGTTAAGATTATTTTGGTTTTGCTTTAAAACTTGCTTTTGCTTTTGTTTTTGTTTTAGTTGGCTGACTTGAAATCGCAAGTTGCGGTGGCGAAGCTCGAAAACGATACCAAGTATGTTGACTTAACTCTAAAGAAGGTTACGAAGTAGTTAATTGATTGGGAGTGCAAGAAACCATTAAAGGATGGCAAGGGGGAAGTGAAAAAGAAAAAAAAAAAGAAACCAGCAGGGTCCATGAGCAAACCTGCATCTCAGAACGTGCAGCACGCTTAGTGTTACACGTTTGAGTTCAGACCACGTGATCGTTTTAAGCACAACACGTTACTATATGGCTTTGTGTTATTCTTATGAACCTCCCCCCCCTCCCCCCTCCCCTTATTGGCAGTTAATTTTCTATCGTCCCCCCTTTATACTCTGTTGGGGACTAATGACTTACGAAATCCTCCCCCCCCATTATACTCGAAGACCATGTGATCCCCCCAAAAATACCCCCCGACCTCAAGGAGAAAAAAGTAACGACTGGTTTCTTAAGCCCCGTTCAAACGGTCGTGATAGGTGATGATAGTTTCAACTATCACGCGCGTTTGAACACGAACTGTTATAGGCTATCAGCGACTATCACCAACTATCATGAATTTTGGACATGTTCAAATTCGATATGATAGTTTCTGATAGTTTTTCCGTTTGAACGATCGATGATGGTAAATGAGAGTTTTCCCGTGAGCAGTTTTGCCAAAAAACGGGCTCGAACCAAAATCGTTAATGGTAATTTAGCCCTCAAATTTCGCAGAATGCTTCGCAGTTCATTCTTATTATCTCCTGGTAGGCTTCAGTATCTTTAACTCGTGACTGCTTGACTAAAATTTCAAATGTCACCAAAATCACTGACCTCAGCGCGCGCCATACTTGTTTACAATTACATGATCTCATTGTGTGATTTTGTCATCTATTATCAGCTTTCACGAGCCGTTTGAACGCAAAAATTATAGATAATAATAGTGAATGAAAGTTGAAACCAGCAACAACTATCATCAACTATCATGAACGTTTGAACGGGGCTTTAAGAAGGCGGCTGCTTCTAATTGTTTACACTCGTTTAGAAATAAGAACAACCTGAGTTTCCTTTTAATCAGCACAATGCAGGAAATGGTTTGAACTCGGGTGTCACATTTGATCATGTTGTCTGATCGTGCGAGTGAAGGGTAATCCTGAGAAGGGTTGGTAGTGGGGACGGACATTTCGACAGTATTCCTTCTTAGAACTATCCTCACGCGGACGATCAGACTTCATCATCTTCGGTCTGCACAAGTTTTCTTAGTTTCCAAGTCATTTTATGTACTTCCACGTACAATTCCTCCTTTCTTCCAGTTGAATATCGTTGATAAGCATATTTTAATTTCTCCTTTCAGATTTGTCCCCAAAGTGATGAAAGGTCAACTTTTCAATCGTCTTCGCGAAAAAGAGGTGATTTGACCTGCTATGTTTTTACATCTCATTTCCGTAAATCTTTAGGCGCGTCAATGCCCACAAATTCCTTTTTGGCGGTGGTTTTGGCTGTTTCTTCTAACCTCCAAAAGTATCTCCTTGTAACTTTCATTTATTTCATCGTGTACAGGGTTTCAGGTAATGATAATAAGACAGCTATCAATCTGGGTATATTACCCTGCATTTACCTATTATTCCTTGAGCACTTGTTGGATGTGAGATGGTAAATGACCAACGAGGTGCGTAGCGCTGAGTTCGCTAGAACCAATCTCGAATCTAACAAGCGCGAATGGAATAACTTTTTTCTATAAAATTTTATTCAATCCTGAACGCTTGAATATTTGGAGCTTTATTTTAGCTCCGCCACAGTTGGTGCAATGCATTTCCATGTAAGATGACTCGCAATAGGAGCTGATAACCGGAGTTAAGTGAACCAATCAGAACCTTAAAAACGCAATATTCGGAGTTGAAAATTTAGTAATACAGGATAACCGGCTTAGATTGCAAGCTGTATTGCCTTAATGATTAAAACTATGCTTTCCGAGAGAGCTTCATCTCCTCTTGTACTTCTGATGTTTTAAGTGTGCCGAACAAAAATAAAAAGCAATAAACAACAGAAGTTGATTTTTTCGGTAGGCGTTAATTTTTTTTATTGTGTTGCGCGCAAACGTAAATATTTGTCCTCCTCGTGGATTTTTTGAGTCTTCTCGGTAAGGTATCGGTAGTATGGATTCATCGATGGGTTGAGATATTCGTTCTTTTTAAGAGGATGTGTCCTTTTTTCCGTAACCTATTCCCAAGTATTTCACGCGTTGAACCATATAGGTTTAAAGCTAGAGTCATACATTATGCACTATATAGTTCAAATAAGCTGTTATTAGTATATATTGCTTCGGTTTATCAGAAACTGCGTGATTGAAGACGATAAGTTTGTCGTAGGAAATCAAAGATGCCCTTTTGGAAAGACGCGATGAGCTGAAGAAGAACATAATTTCAGTGAAATTTCGTCTCGCTGTCAAGGTAAATGGATTTGATGACACAAACAGTTGTTCCTGTTGTTTGTTTATTATCGAGATAGCTTTCCTAAGGATGGTTGGATATTTACCACTTTAAATTATAACATAGCTAGTAAATTTGTCTAATCAAATTCAATTGCGCGAGCGTGCTTCATATTCCTATTGTGCACGCTCATGACGTTAGCAAACAAATCCCTCGAGAAAAAAATTTTTCCATCTGGTTGAAAATGTTATAAAACAATTGGTTCATACATCAACTGTGCGTTCATCGAGATATGAAGCACTTGGAAAGTTTGGAGAGCACTCAAGAAGCTAGAGTTGCTCTCGGCTACGCCTCGAGCAACTCTTACGCATCTTTCGTGCTCTCCAAACTTCCCGCGTGCTTAATATCTCGATGAAGGCACGCTGACGTATGAACCAATTGTTAAGCTGCAGGTATATTTACTTTCCTTTTTTTATGGGTGTGTTGTTTTATTTCTTCTTTTTTCTTTTGTTTTGTTTGTTTGTGTTAGTCTGTATTTGTTTTTGTAATTGTCTTGCAAACGCTTTTTTGTTGAAATTCCTTAGTATAGAGTTGCGCATCCTTTCCGTGTAGTTTCCACGTGTGAGTTATAATAGTAAATTAGTAAAACAGCGGTTTATAGTATGGCCTGAACCTCAGTAGGCAAATCGATATTATCATATATTTTCCTGCAATTGAAACCGGTGACCTCCTCCCAAACAGCCTTGAGTTCCCAAACTATCCGGTACATGATGGCCGGAGAGATAAATAGGGTTTCGCTTTCGATACTATTCATACCTTTCTCCGTTTTTCAAGTCTCGCACAATTGTCATACTATTCAGTAAAGGACTCTTAGAATAATGGGCATGATACAAGGAAAAATCAATGGCTTTGATGTCTTTTTTTTAATATATCTTTCCAGTTTACCATGCGTGGCTGTCAAGTTTGCAAAGTTTGAAGCAAAAAAGAAAAAAAACCTTAAAAAAGCTAAAAATCAAAAAAAGAAAAACAGCCAAATAAAAAATCTGGATAGCATATTCATCACAAGGGAATCATCTTGAACTCAACTAACTAGCTATATCAACTAAGTCCGATTTGATGAAACCATAGCAAACCATCGTTTATCAGTCATGTAGCCGAATTAAAGTCCGCTGCAAGTCGAGAGTCAATCCGTCCGTCTGTCCGTCCATCTTTACGTACGTCTTTCTGACAGCCCTTTTGTCCATCGTTTGTTTTTCTCCTTCATTCATTCCTTTTTGCTTTCCTCTCTCCTTCTCTTTACTTTACGGTTGAAGTTTTGTTCTTTTACCAATTAGAGAAAAGGAACCAAAACCATTAAGGCAGGTAATCAAAGATCATCTTATTTTCGTCAACTTTGCTTAGCGCTGAAGGAGACCCACAGAACAATGGAGGAAGCAGGTAATTTTGTCGTCTGCTGTTACTCGCACATGAAATGTTTTCATGTTATTGGTTTGTTGACGGATAAAGTTGATGTAAAACTTTTTTCATATGCAAGGGTATGCTTTTTCTTAAATTGTTTCCGCTAGCTTCGTGGAGAATACGAAACGAAAACAATGGGATGATTTTTTACACGTTATAATGATCTGTTATAAAACAAAAACAACAATAGAATCAACAGAAGCAACGGAGTTGAAATCGAAGCAAAACCATGAAACACAAAACAAACGCTGAAGAAAACAAACTATCAAACTCTAAAAACAAACATATTGGCTGCAAAAATAATTATCTAGTGGGGTGGTAGTTGAATCATCTTATCGTATTTTGTTGTTCTAGTTAAGAAGTGTGAGGAGGAGGCGAGAGAAGAAACAAATGATAAACAGCATGTTGATAATGCCTTAGAAGGAGTCAGTAGTTTATCATTGCGCGTCGAAGGAGAAGATGACGTTAGTTAAATGTTCTTGTTCTTGATTAGATATTTTGTAATGTTTTGTTCCATCCTACACGTATAATCTCCAAATTTAGACTAATTTTTTCGTCTGAGGTACATATTCTAATCTTGGTCTTTTCCTCTCCCCTCTCTCTTTCTTCCCTAAGGACCCGACCAAGGACCAAGAAGCAGAGTTTGTACTCGAATACATTGAGAACTTTTTCGAGGTTGGTTCTAGGTTCGTGATGTGGCAAACATTGCATGCGTCAGTTCGGCATTCAACGAGATACAAAGTCTGGTTAAGCGTTATGACCACTTAAGGTGCTGAAGTTTCTCTCAGCAGCTCCTGGTGAAAATGTTGGCCATATTTCGTGTCCTAAAAATCCTACAAATCTCCCGTGTGCTGAATATCTAGATGCACACACGTTGGTGCAAAAAGCAACTGGTGATAAATATACACAAAAAACTTACACCAGCACTCAAAGGAGCATGTTGTATTTAGTAATTTACCGGCAAAATTTCATTCAGCTACCATTTTTTCTTCTGAAGAGAAGGTTGAATCCCTAATTTGTCAAGTATAGCTGGAGTTATACTTCAATAATGCTACATCCCATGTTATAAAGACAGGCACCTCCATGGACACTTTCAAACCGTAATTTCCCTGAACTTTACTGTCTTGAAATTCTTATTTCTCACCGCGTGATCCAGGTAAACTTGAACCACATCCTTTTTCTTCATAAAGTTATTGGGGCACTGCTATATTTTACAGGTTTATGAAGCGGGAAAAATAGAGGATGCTGTCATGTTGGCTGCACATTCCCCCAAGGTACAAAACAACGAGATGAAGTAATATTTGTGTAACCGCCAGGCCTAGGGTAGCATACCATTCAGTCTTTTTCGTTCTTGAAACCGAAACGATAGTATTTAGTCAAAATGGAAGACGCCACGCCACATCGATCACTGACGAATGTCACATAATTATGACTATTGTATACGGCAGGAATTAGTTATTAATGTCGTGTCAAAAAGGGTAAGGAGCAGTAACTATAGCGTAAGACATTTCTTTAAAATTTTGGCCCAGAGGACGCTAGTTCAAAGACACCTACATTTGTTTACTTCTAAGGGTGTTTTAAGGTCGATGGAGACTCTTGCAAAGTTTGAAGAATACGATGCAACTCATATAGGCAGGTAAAAGTTACATTTGATGGCGTGTACTTGAAGCTATAGATGAAATCCACATTGTGCTGGCAAGTCCAAATAATCAATTCTTTTAAAGAAAGAATCGAAAAAATTGTTATTTTCTGGAATTTTGTGAAATGTATGATGATTTGGGATATATTCTCTAACCCCGGCCGTACTAATATCTGCAAGTAAGTAAATGATTAAAAGACATTTAGAGTTACGATTTACAGCTCTTTTTGACGGAACAATGTTAAACCGAAACTATATTTTTCAAAACCCAACCTTTATACAGCTAATAAAAACGACGATGAGAACCAAGGGTGGGAAATTGAAAAAAAACAAAAACGCACGTCTTCGTTGAAGTTAACATCTGTTTGGTTAAGTTTTTAAAGCTAGTTTTAAAGCGTAATTAAGCAAAGCCAACGTAGCCCTTGATCACAAATTGAGCACTCAGTCATAACTCAATCAAGACACGCTGTAATGGGAAATGGTGCAGTAATTTTTATTATATATTACAATAATTAATCATGTTCTTGCCTATTTTCATCGGTCATAAATGGCCCATTTCCGAATTACCTTTGGCCTCTTTTTCACCTGCAAATGAATTTCATTTTCACGCTAATGGTTGAAGGCCAGGCCTCGTTTTGAAAGAGGTCAAAGGTAATTTGGACATGGCCTATTCATTGCATTTTTTTTAACCTTCTTTATCATTCAGTTCAGTTTTGATGTCCTACTGGGAAGCTCTTCTTCCAACAGTTAGCACTGGCTGTAAAAAACCATCTCAGTGGGAAACTTTGGAGTGTGTCAGATGTGTCTTAGCGAGAGGTGCGTTAAAAGGCAACCTTGTTGACACTAGAGTCCCTCAATCGGCACGTTTTCGTGCGTCATCGATCTTTGTTGCAGGGCATTGTAAATATCTCTTTGGAAATCGCCTTGGTGTGTTATCCTTTGATAGGAAACTGAAGCGTTATACATTGACCTGAAAGGACTTGCATGTTCGTTACTCGTTGATTATTTGGTTCTAAACGAAAAAGGAGAAACGAGACAGCAATCCCTGTGGATGCAGAACGCTCAGCTCTCTTAACTCAGGAAGTTGGCCCTAGTTTCTTCTTCTTCATGCCCCCCCCCCCAGTTTTTTAATTCAAGCTTCAGATGGCATGTTGATTAGTAATGGTAATAGGAACGAGTGGAGTCCAATTCGCTGTAATAATTCGCGGTCGTCCGATTTTGTTAATCACGTGTATGATTACAGACAGAATTGAACGATACGAAGTCCTGTCACCAATTAATCATAATCGTTACAATTTCCGAAAAAAAAAACAAATACATTTCGGAGAGACAATGCCTAGAGTAAAAAATACTTATATTTTGGAAATTCCCCATTTTTTTCAGGATAAGTACTTGTTGCTATGGTTATTGTGATCAAATCTGTGCTTTGTGAATTTAGCTGAGTGGACTTAGTTTGATTGGCTGCTTCAACTGTCCGATTACAGGTGTCCAATTACAGCCAACTGTCCTATTACACTGATCGATTATAACTGTACAGAATGGTTAGAGAAAAATTAGGCATCAAATGCACCAATTACATTTAAGAAAATTGTGATGGTCGCAGTGGTTCTGATAAATCTCGTAACAATACCTGTTCCGTCTCCTTATTGTCTCCTTAATACTTGTGTTGTCACTTATTATTATTTCTTCTCATTTGCTATACAAGGGAGAACTGATCTCCTTACTCACTGGATTGCACAGAATCAGGTAAACCAAGAAAACCGAACTTTTTTTTTTAAATAATTTGGTGATGAGGTCGAAACTCTCTCGCATGGTACTTGATGAGGATGAAGCCCTAGTCAACTATCCACATAGAATTAACGATTAATGCTGTTTAAGTTTAAATCCACCAGCTGTTTAAAACTAAGACTTAACAGCAAGACAAGCTCTTTTTTTATTATTAGTTTTTAGTAGCAGTGTAAGGCTGCTCAATATCACGGAATCGATAAGAGAACATATGGACCCTTATTCTCTCCTGATAGCAAGTAGCGTTGCTTATCAAATTGCAGCTTTTGTAACGGAGTGATAGCACAGTTTTACTGGCCGATTAACGCTAACCCAGGGTTGAGTTTTAATCTGGGTTTCTTTATTTCTTTCTTTCCAAACTAAAGCAGCCACACCCATAATGATGTCCTTAATAAGATAGTTTCAACGCTGTTTTGATTGGTTAATTGCTCTGTAATTTCTGCTGTGCCTTTCCTTTTGACAGTTAACTCTCTCTGAAGAGGCTGGAAGACTGATATCTGAAGCTTGCAGATGCCCGAACAGGTACAAGCAACGCCTTAATATAATTTTCTGCCAAAGAAAACTTTCACTAAGAGATGATATTAAACGTTAATAGATGGGAGTTTACGCATGCCCTTTTTGGTAACGAGAGAAAACAAGAATTCAACAACCGCCTTCTGTATACGAATATATACTTGTTTTACTTTCAGTTAGATTGTAAATGCAAAAACAAGAAGCCATTTTAATTTTTCCTTCTACAACGAACAACAGAAAATTTGAATTCTATTTTTCCTGGTGTACTTAATCAATTTCATGATTAGAAACAAGAGTTGTTGCCTGAGAATTGTCATCCAAATGACCAATTAATTGAAATAATAGACAGGAAACTTGATATTGTGTCATTTTGCATATTGATATTGAATTACTTCCTGAAGTTCGTTTTGTGATGTGGTGCCATATCTAAAAAGGCACTCATGGGATGGAAAAAAGTCAAGGACTTTCTTTATAGGTTTAATACCTCATTAAATCAAGAAATAATTTTTGTATAGAAAGTTATGTTGTGTCTACTGTTTCGGAACCTGAGATTGTTGTAGGTTTTTTTGGCTTTTTTGCAATAATTTGTTATGCACTGTTTTAATAGATTTACGTGTTCGACTGTGTGAGCCACGTGGTTCGAAAATAGAAAAGTGGACAGGATGTCCCACAGACTTGCGTGTCGCAATTGCTGATGAACTGTTCGTTTACTAATTTGCTTTCGTTGTTCAATATTGTAGGGAAAGAGCTAAAATTCTGACTTCGCATCTGGTTTTTCCACCACATGCATCTTTAGGCTAACTGGGCTTATTAGCATAGGGGAAAGGGAAAAATGAGGGTTTGAGTTCATGAAATTGTTAATTTATATCTCATTAAAAAACCATGATTATGGTATTTTTTTATTTGACGAAAGAAAGCAAACTTCATGAATTGTAAGCATAGTTTTCTTTTTGGAGGCCTAGTTTTCAATTCAGTGAAACAATTTTTAAGGATCCAATTAACAAGCATTACCTTTTGAAGTTTAGCCAGCATAGTGTCACATACTTAAATTTCCTATGTTTATTTTCCATCTGCTGGGAATGAAACTGACATTTTAATAAATGTTATAGTACTCATGTTTTGAAAGGGAGAACACGCCAGCGGTTAGGCAAATAATTTGAATAAACTTAAGAAAACGAATTTTAGATGAACGAGTTAATGTTAAACTAAAGTGCCTTTATAAAGTTCACTGCATATCAAGAAAGTGAGTATCAGCCATGCCCATGCCGTTATTTGTGGCAAACTTGTAACTATCCATATTTAAACATAAAAATGCCATAAAATATGTAAGGTCACGTTTAACTCACTTTCACGTCATTTTTTAAACATATAATTCAAGGGAGCACGTACCTTGCAATGAAACGGAATTAAAAACCCTACTCGTTGACGCCCAAGATCACGTACCGGGGTAGATATAGCTTTAAAGATTTAAACTTTGTGAATTACCAATGAAAAATATTTTTCTTCCTTAACAACTGGACTAAGTCCAAAACTCATAACTTCTCACTAGCTAATTACAGCTACACAACTCTCTAAGGTTGTTGTAAATTGTACGTCACTCTCCTGTCAAGTGGGTGGCAGATAGTTGATTCACTAGTTCATAATTCTACATATGATTGCATGTGCCCTAATTATCATTGTATTCTAACAGGGTTAGAAAGCTTTTAATAAAAGATAGACAGATCTAGAGTAATTTCTTCGTAACAGTATTTTCCTTCCAAAAAGTCACACCAAAACAGAAATATATTATTATATGCTTTTCCTCAAACAAAAAATATTTCGTCAAAACAATGTTGGTTCTAAGGGTTTCTGTACTTAAAATGTGGTGAAATTTCCTTTCATCAGAACTAGCAAATATTCATAGCGCTTCCGAGTTTTTTTTGTGTGTGTAACACTAACGTTTTAGCGCTTTGACCACGGTCAAGAATAAAATTTAAAACATCCGTTTTTCATATTTTCAATTTACATCGCGGTTCTGGTTCTATATATGTATATATGTATATATATATAAATTTTTTTTTTTAGCAGGGTGGCCATATTTAAGCAAAGACTGATTAAAATTTAAAACATCCGTTTTTCATATTTTCAATTTACATCGCGGTTCTGGTTCTATATATGTATATATATGTATATATATATTTTTTTTTAGCAGGGTAGCCATATTTAAGCAAAGAATGATTATTTTTCTCTACTATATTGAAACAGTTGCTCTGTCAAAAGGAAACTTTCGATAAGAAATACAGGTCTGTTGGTTCCACATGGTGTGTTTAACAAAGAGCATAACGTGAACATTAATTATCAGAATTTTCTTGTTTCAAGTTTTAAGCCACGAGAGCAAACAAGGAAATAGAACAGACCACACAAGTGGCAAATTTAGACAACTTGATCGAGCGGCCTTTTGACATATTTGCTTTTTACTTATTTAGCCTGCATATTCAATTTCCTTGAGTAGTTTGGGTTGGTTTCCAAAGCGAATAAGAAAAGAAAATCTCATAGGAAATGCGCGCGTTTGAAGAAAAGTTTTATATAAAGTTCGCTTTAATTTTATTATAATTTTTAAGAGGACAACTACCAGTTTCTTCTAATTACATACGTAAAAGGTTAGCAGAACATCACCTTCTGTTCATATGTTCGTTGTCTTCTCTCGTTTTTGTTTGAATTGAATAATTTATCAAGTTGTCTCGTATCCAATAGTTAAGTATTAGCATAATGGAAGATCTGCACTTCAGTTAACAATTATTCGGTCGCATTTCGTGGCCCGTAGCCCATGTTGAGTTTCCTACAGCAAGTCGAAATTTAAAATTTGTTTCCTCTTCAACGTTGTTGTTAAAAAAGAACTTAGTGGGAGGTCAATGCATCTCCTCTCGAGACTCAAATATTTCCAATGTCAATAGCGAAGTGCGAGGAAATAAGGTGTTTTGCCATGAGTTCTACATTACCGCAGCGGAATTTTCCTATAAATGGAAGCACTGCCGAGGTTTCCTTGACCCGTTTTTAGTATCAGAGACGTTCTCACATTCTGATGAGTCTGATGAAGCGATGACGTGCTTCATGTTCCAATTATTTATTATACACCATTTCAAACTGCGTCACGACTAATATAATCGGAGGACAAACCGAATTTTCTGTTGAAAAAGAAACTTATCCTGATTATCGATAACTTTGGCCCATTTATCTCGGCGTAGTTAGAAACTGAAAAACATACAAATTGGACCTAGCTTGGCACTTTGCCTCGCAAATAAATTAGCGACTTGTTATTTGTCATGTTTAATCCCACATGCAAAGACTGAAAGGCGTCTGAAAAGTCCATAGACATATTTTTGAGGATTTTCAACATAATCCCCTAAGAAATCTGCTTAGCCCTCTGCAAGCAGAAATTTCGTTGTCTAAAAGAAAAGATGTTTTCTATCCTCGATGCAACATATTTTAATCGGTTTCGAAACTGAGAAATAAACGCTCAATTACCTCAAGCTCAATGGCAGGTGTAAATGCCGCCTTATGTAAAATTAACTAAGTAACCCAAATCCCCTACGTATCGTAGGCTGACAGATGATTGGTTTTACGCTACACAGTTTAGTAAACGGCTTTGTAAGTTCAAGAGGAGCCGAAAGGAAAGCTCGAATCCGTTCAGATGCACAGCAATCGTGAGTATCCGTAGGATGTGGTTTGGGACTATTTTCGACCCAGTTGACGAACATGATGTTTCCTTTCTTTTCACACCTACAAAAGTCATATAACTGTCAGGACAAAAAATTCAATGCGGAAGCTCACGAGAATAAATACAGGTGTCCTCTAATCATGTAATACTAGTCAGCTTTGGTTCAGCAGCTCTCTGTAACCAAACGGTGCTCTCCAAGAAAAATAGGCTCTCGTTTAGAAAAGAAACATGACGGGGAATGGGTCTTACACAACGGACCTGACAGCTTTCGAAAGTTACTTCCTCGCTAGCGTGAACGTTTTTTTTAGTCTGTGCGGTATCTTGGGCAATGTGCTCGTTATCGTTGTGATAGCCCGTAGCCGGCAACTTCACACCGTCTCTAACACGTTCATAACGAGTTTAGCAGCAGCAGATCTCCTTGTTTGCGTCGTTTCGCAGCCCATGAACGCGGTGTTCCTGTATGGGTTGCCACCTAATACAACATACAGCAACACGCGAAAGATGTTTTCATTTGTCTCCCTTTTGGCATCAATCAGCAACTTAGCTGCCGTGACCATCGATCGCTACGTCGCTATCGTTAATCCAATGCAGTACCAGCTCAGAGCCAACTTCAAGAGCGCCTCTCTCCTCCTCTGCGCCATTTGGGTCGTGTCTTTGGCGCTGGGAATACCGAGCGGTTTCGTACGATCTATTCAACATATCACGGTGTACTATATAATTGCACTCTTGTCCGTCATAGCTCCGATCTATGTGCGAATTTATTCAATCGCTCGCAGTCAAAGGAGGCTCATCGCTAGGCAAGGGGAGCACATCAAGAGGGATTTAAAAAAAAAAACCAGAAAGGAAAATATAGCAGCAAAAACCATAGGGTTCGTCATAGTCGTCTTTATCATTTGCTGGTTGCCTTTGCTCATAACTCCGATGATTTTCCGTCACAGTGAGAACAGCCGCATTGTCAGAAAGTCTTTGAAATGGGTTCAGACTCTCGCTTTATGCTCGTCAGCCTTGAACCCTGTTATTTATAGCCTGAAAACGCAGATTTTCAGAAAGGAATTGAGAAAAGTTTTCAGGAGCGCTCTGAAACGACATTCTCGGGCAGACCAACAGATAACATATGTCTAAAAACTCGTTTGCAATTAAAAAGGGATTCTCCCTTAAGTTGATTTTGCTTAAACCATTATTTTGTCGCAAAAAACTGTCTCGATTGATATAAATGCAAAACTGTACATAACTTTTACTTGAGTTGTCGGCGAAACATGAAATTCGTCTAGTCGAATGACACCAAACTTATTCGTTCGTTGTTCTTAGAAAGCAATTATCGTATTTCAACGATGTTAGGCTTTTATGTTTTGTAGATTTGGTCGACTCTTAGTTCTTTACGTGGCGCTCTTGGTACTTGAGTCATATTTTTGACTTCTATTTGAGTGGCTGTTGGTTAAAGGTCACTTTGAGAATCATCGCTAAAATATGTATGAAAAACATTTAGAAGAGTAAACACTCAAAAAGAATATTTCCTCTCTGCCTTTTGTGTCAATCACCCACCTCTTTCTCTGCAGGATAGCCTTGTGAAATGTTACCCGTCTTCTCTTTTTCTTGTTCCGCGATTAAATATGCATCATGCAAGGAAGTAAAAACGGCAATTTTTTTTTCAAATGTTTGGAGATTTGCGTAACTTTTGTTTCTTTGGTTTTGCTCCCTGGTCTAATAAAGGTTGCCTTAGTATACTCCAACATTATGAAATAACTACTGAAGGCTTTCAATAGTACAAACTATCCTAACTGACTTGTAATTGTGATCGAGGCACTAATAACACATATTTTGATCTGCCCATCTTTGATGCAAATCGGGCGAAATTTTTTTAAAATTTAAAAATTGGTTCTCAGTCGACTCCACGATATCTGTACGTTGATGACTGATGGGAGGAAATTAAAATAATCCACCTACGGAATTTAATGTGTGGCTATACAACAAAAATTTTGACATATCATCAAATACGACTGGTCTACCTTTTAGAAATGCTCATCTGAAACCTTCATGGACATTTTGCATAGCTAAAGCTGAATTTTTTTTTTTAATATTCCGCATATGCTTACCTGAAAATTCTGATCACGTATACATATGTAATTAAATGATGGATCAGTCTTAAACCAGACATTGATGACAGTTTAAGTAAAGTTATTCATGAATTTTACTTATCAACTAAGGAATTGATTCCCTACTCGAATCTTCTATTCCAGCCTAACCTAAATTATCCGTAATCTATTCACTCTTACGGAAAATTGGCAAGAAATTGAGGTTCGTTATTTCATCACAGTTTATTTCGGTGGTCCATGTACCATTTTAACCGTCGTTACCCCTTCAATGAAATCTACTATCGACGTCAAACGAATCACCGGGCTAATGGGTCTGGGTTAATGCCAAACAGAAAGTATAAATATATTTGCATCTAGTGATCAGTTGACTGATTTAAAAATCAAAATGCGTAACAATTTGCTGATCAATCTTCAGTTCAATTGAGGCGTTTTTTTTTTCTATTCAACAATGTTTTCATGAGCATGGTGTGTTTCCGTGGTAGCCTCCGTGGAAATACTTATGAAGATAGCTGAAGACTTCGTTTGAATTACTACCTTAATAACCTAATATTTGAAGTCCTTTTACAGACAACTTGAAGGTTTTCTTCTACTGATGATTTTTTTTTTCTTTTTTAGTTAGCTTGTTTTTGTGTTTGCTTTCGTCTGTAATTCTAAGTTTGACGTATTTAGATCATCTTTTTAATTCTAACTAAACCTGCCATTTAGGAGTTTTTTCTTGTTTTGTTTGTTTTGTTTTTTTTTTGCACTTACTGCAATGGACACCTTAACTCTGGGGATGATATCTGGTCAGTGAAGTGCCAGTTACAATTATATTTAAGGAATTTTAGCCCGTTACTTCTCCTAGTCGCTGTTCCGGCGAATGCTTAGTCATGAACATTAACGCCGTTCGTTGGGACAGTGGAACAAAACATTGCATGCTAGAATTTACAGTATTAACTAATTAATATTCGAATCGGTCATGTCAGTTGGTTAGTTGTCGTTCAGCAGTCGCAGAGTTCGGACAAAAAAAAAACAGTAAGTTTAGTTGCTGCGTTTTCGTTTTCGAATTTTGTAATAGTTGTAGAATTTATCGTCGAAACACATTTTGGTTCCTTCGAGCCGGATCAAGTTACAGTTCATTCTTCGAATGGAATCGAAAGACGGATCTAAAACGCCCTCGAAAATCGGCAAAGAGAACATCGAAACATGGACCTCGCAGCAAATCGAGTATCTTCATCGGAGAAGGGCAACGTTCAAAGGAGCCATAACGAAGAATTCAAAGAAGGCTAAGGATATTATTAGCAAGAAAGGTAGCAGAACGGTACTATTAACCATAAAGGAAAGAGTTTTTCAAGCATTACAAGATGCCTTGCAAAGGGATGATGTGACTAAGCGAGCAGAATCAGAAGAATGGTTAGACAATTAGCGGAGCGAAGAAGAGGACATCGCCGACTCTGTTAGGGAGTATTCAGAAAGCCGTGTAGATGAACTGCCATTAGTAATAGGAGAGTTTTCCGATGCAGTTAGCGAACTTGACGACATGGAAAGTCGGAATCGTCTGATGATTCGCTACTTGTCTTCACAGCACAGAAGTTCGTCGAATTATTGTCGAAATCTGCACAGTCCAAAAGGAATAAATCAGCTCCTAAATTCAGCAATAAAGATTATGACTCGGTAGAGAAAGGAAGTGAAGAAGACGAATTAGACAAAGACAAACTCGACTCGAAAGACTTTGACAGATTTTTCAAAGGAATCAAGAAACCCGCCTTAACCGTCTTCAGTGGAGATAAAGACTTTTATCACGATTGGAGAGCGCAATTTGAAATATTCGCGAATCGGATGAAAGTGCCAGCTAAAACCAAGATGATGATTTTGAAAAATTCTCTATCTGGCGAACCATCACGAGTTGTTGAGCGGTTAGGATACACATCTAGACAATATCGAACTGCCTTGGAGAAACTTGAGTAGAAGTACGGAGGTGAAAAGCGACTTTTATAACGTCACCTCGAGGCCATTTTGTGTGCGTCTTCTGTCGAAGAGATTAAAGGAAAGGAGTTAGAGATTTTTTCGGATCGTTTAACTGACGTTGTGGCTAAGATTGAGGATAGCGACCGGTATCAAGAGCGAGCAGGAGTATCTGCACTTTACATCGCGGTGCAACAAAAGTTACCAGAGTCTCTTCTTATCGTGTACTAAGAGTGGTTGTTCAGGAAGTCCAGGAAGGCTGGACAGAGGCAAGCTGTTTGTCGCATGGATGTCGAAGAAGTTAAGGAGCGAACAAGGAAAAAGAAAGAGATTGAATGACGCGATGCTTGCTGGGCCTAAACTTCAACGAGATGTCCTGGAGATACTTCTCCAATTTAGACTGAGACGTGTCGCCCTAGTAGCGGACATCAAGGAAATGTTTTCCCAAGTAGCCGTCTCTTAGAAAGACCGCAAGTATCACAGACAGAGCTTCCTCTTATCTCGCCCAGTTCGTGCTTCGCAGCCACGCCTAAGACTTTAAAGAGAACTACCCTGCAGCGGCCATGGTCCTGCAGCGGCTATGGTCCTGCTTCGAGATATGTACATGGATGATATCCTGCACTCAGAAGAAACTGTAGAAGACGCCTTTCTCGTCCTTTAAAATTTGACAAAGGCCCTGGGTGGCGCTGGTTTCTGTACCCAAAAGTGGTGAGAAATCCCACAAATGGGTCGAGAATGGAGTAAAGCTTGAGAGCTCAGAACTACCAAATGTCAAGACATTAGGAGTCCGTTGGAATGCGAGTGAAGATGTTTTCACGTTTGTTGTCAAAGAAAGCAACCTGTCCTTTTACACGAAGCGAGGCCTGTTAAGTCGTATTGCCACACTGTTTGATCCATTGCAGTACTTGGCGCCGTACATCATCAGGGCAAAACTGGCTTTACAAGAAGCCTGGTTGCGAGGTCCTGGTTGCGAGTTTCCAGATGATCTAAAGTTGATCACTTATCAGTGGGCCAAACAGTTGCCCAAAGCTCCACAGGTCAAAATCCCATGTTGCTATCGACAGCACGAGGAAGCAGTGGAAGACGTCACACTTCATGCATTCGTTGACGCGTCAAGACGAGCCTATGCAACAGTAAGCTACGCCAGATACGAACACGCGAGTGGACAGATCTCAGTTGCCCTAACACCGATTAAATCCGTCAGCGTCCCACGCTTTGAGTTAATGGCAGCAGTACTCGGAGTGCTGTTAGCTGGTCTCTGAGAAGCTAGAAATTCCGCTAAGTCAACACACCCAGTGGACAGATAGTATGGATGTAATCTACTGGATCCAAGGTCACTCAAAACGACTGAAATCGTTTATTGCTAATCGAGTAGCCGAAATTCAACGAAAATCGGACCAAGCTCACTGGCGACATGTACTAGGAGAACAAAACCCCGCTGACGACGCAACAAAAGGTCAGGACCTGAAAAAACGTATCCGCTAAAAGCCGCTGGTTCCAGGGACCTGCCTTTCAACATGATTAGGCAACATCATCACCTTTAGAAAGTCGCCTTTGTTTGAATTATTGCAGTGAAGAAGGTAAACAATAGCTGGCTAAAATCAACCTCACGTTTCAATGCAAGCAGCCCCTGCCCTTGTTTGACATCGAGAAGTTTCCTTCCTGGCGTCGATTTTTAGGAGTTACAGCTTGGATCTTAAGATTCATTTCCAAAAGTAAAAGGGCAAGACTTCAGAAAAGCCAGGTGACCGGAAACAAGCAAAACGACTTACTGAAAAAAGTCCTAGAACCGGAGGAAATCAGTAACGCCAAGAGAGGTACTGAGTTCGAGAAACTCAAAGAGAACCCTTTTTGGAGGAATTGACAACCTTGAGAGGAGGAGAAAGTGTCTCGAGAAGCAGTCCGCTGTGGAGATTGTCACCATTTGTGGACAGTGACGGAATCTTACGTGTGGGTGGGAGACCAGAAATGTCCAATCTACCTTGCGGATGCCAAACACCCTGTCATATTACCGAAGAAACATCACTTCTCAAAACTTGTCATCGCACCTATCCATAATCAAGTTCATCGTAACCTCGCTCGCTGAACTACGACAGAAGTACTGGATTGTCAATGGGGGAGAATAAATTAAGCCATGGAAACGAGCGTGCAATGTCTGCAAACTTGGAAGGTGTTTCGCTAGACACGAAATTACTGAAATTATCGTCATAACTATTATGAAGTGACGTAACAATCTGTTATTAGTAAGACAAAATTAAATGACTACTAGTCGCGGAATTTGAGACACCCACGGGTATGTATACGTTACTTTATGTGCTTGATTATCCTGACAATCTTTCTGA